GTTCCGTATGATATTTGCTTCTGCTTAATTTTTGCTGAACTCATAAATATATGTATGCACTTTAAAATGCACACATACACAATCGGAATTTATATTTATTTTGAACGCATATAAGGCACAATTTTGCTGCCATTTCGTTAACATTAGCATTCAGTGCTGTGTGATGAAGAGACATTGGGGGCACATGCTATAGCGCAATAAAAATGGGCGAAATTTCGTAATTTCTTTTTGATGTTTTCTATTTTTATTTAATGCTTGTCGCGCTCAAAATACCATCTTTGTTGTTGCTATTTTTGAACACATTCGCGTCTTTTTTTTGGCATTTATTTTATTATTGCACTTTCCAATGGTCAAGCATCGGTTCGATTCACAACACGTCTCACCCCACCCCGTCAACATCAGTATACGCCTCTGGCGTTATACCGTACTGCAACGAACCGACATTGCATTTTTCGAACGAACGAGCGCACATTCATACATACAATACTTATATACATATGTAGGTATTGCAACGAATTGCGCTTTGCCGCGTCGCATCACGTCGCACCGTACCATGCCGGGTCGCATACACCCTACATTCGCATTGAACGACCGCCTTAATTTACCGTACGATTTACACATTTCACCCGTMGGTCTACCAGATACCATAGCATATTTTCATACCCAACTCTACAGACACACACTCATAGACACTATTCACCTACACAGTTATACACAAAACGGGGGGCGCGCGCGAATCAGCCGTACTTGTGAAAAATTCGTTCGGACTCGTTACGATTTCATTTGTATATATCTACATTCATAACACTTAAATGCATATATTCTTGGTGGTTTTATTTACCAAAAAATTTCAATTAATACATTCAATGAATGCTTTAACTTCCGTTTGGATTTTACTTTGTTTCACCATTCACCTTTTGCTGCTTTGTAATTTTTTTTGCTTTTGTGTTTCTAAAATCTTCCTTTTGCTGTTGTTGGCTGCTACTTCTAAATGCTGCTGCTTTTGTTGCTGTACAAGTGTATACAACAATATCCACCGTATGGTTTCCAAGACGAAACACGCGTTACGTTGTTTTCATGCAACCTCATCGCGATTTACTCAGTGACTGAGCTCAAGAATTGCTGGCCAGCAGCGCCTGAGAGCGCCTTTTCGTGCGCCAGATACTCTGTAAACAGGGTGCGATGCTAAGGCATCAACATTTCAAATTAAATCACTTTTAATATGTTGAATACAAAGTTTTGTTATTCTTAAAAAATATATTCAACACAAGAGCTATGACCGTGAAATTCAGCATATGTTTAAAAAATATTAGTAAAATGTCTAAACTGCATTAACACAGTAATTTTACATATTTGAGAGCACAGTTATAAAACGACTGTGGTGCGAATCGCACCCTGTTATATGGGGAGAGTTGTATACGTGTAAGCATAGTCAGTGAAATGAGAGAGAATGTCGCCTCTCAAAAGTATCTTTTCTCTCAGATATGTTTGTGGATAAAAGAGAGCAGAAATATCTTTGAGATAATTTACCGCTTTCGATTTGTATATTTTATCGTTGCCTACCTAGTGTTTATAACTCGCAAATATCTTTTGTCAATTGTTCATTCTAACATATTGCATTTGTTTTACTCAAAATCATCTGTAATCAAATTGATTTAAAGTATCTGATGTTGTTTACATAGGTGAATAAGTTTTGAGAACGGTAGGAAAGACAACATTTATGATACTGATATTAGGGAGTTGAGCGGATTTTTCTTCTCTTCCTCAATGCGCTCTTCATAACAATTTGTTTATTAACGCGTGAGAAAGCCTCTTTCTAACTGTATAAGGATACTGATGACAAATGTCAGAATGATTTAATTATAGTTTATTTCAATCTAAAATATTTTTATTAATAAGAGCGCTACGCTCAAACATCCCAAAGGTAGAGTTTTATAAGTAATACGGATCAACGTTAATACAACCAAATAGTAAATACACAAATTTAATTCAATTTCCATTACATACACTATTTGATCGCGTTTAGAAGCTAACATATTCATTTCTTTTTGTTATGGGAGGAAAATTACAATCATTTCTTTCACAATTGCTACAAAATTTACATGAATAAATATCTTAAATAAGGATAAATTTATATCCATTGATTATTAAAAAGTCTTTAAAACACCAAATTTGCACAGTGTACACATTTTCTAAACACATCGTGAACCCTGTGATAGAAAACACCCTGTACTACTGTTTAATGATTCGTCAACTAACTTACTTATTTCATTCGTGTGAAAAATAAAAAATAAACAAATTCGTGGCACATCCTACCTGTGACCAACTTTTTATATCTACAAACATGGCAAGCTTGAAACAAGATTTGGATGAATATTTGCTACTACAAAGCGATCAAAAAAAGAACTTCAGTGCCAAAATTCCACAAATCAAAGTGCCAGATTTGGGAAAATTATTTACGCGTTCTGAGCCAACGGAACCCAGCAATAGTTGGCTGCAAGACACACAAGACAGTTGTTGTCCTAAATTGGTAAAAAATAAAATTCTAATTAATTTTTATTTAATAAATGACGAATTTATTTTTCTATTATAGTCACGACTGCAGCGCATTGTTGGTTTTGTTGCTTGTTTAGGACTAGGTGCTCTTTGCTTCAGCATCTCCATATTTTACGTACCAGTGTTAATATTAAAAGCCCGCAAATTCGCTCTACTTTATTCTTTGGGTAGCATGTTTTTCATACTTGGCTTTTGTTTTTTATCTGGGTTTGGTGCCTTTCTCAAGACTGCTTTTTCAAAGCCACGTATGTTGGTATCCGGCACATATACCAGCTCTTTGATAGCAACACTTTACTGCGCACTGTTAGTACATAGCACAGCGTTAACCGTCCTCTTTGCTGTAGCGCAAATAATCGCTCTTCTATTTATGATAGTTGGTACTGTTCCCGGTGGAGCTTCCGGAATAAAGTTCTTTGGAAAAATGTTCAAGAGTACCGTATCCTCAACAAGTACACTGCCCGTTTAGTACGATAAACATTAATAAACATATATCTTTTCTTTCATAAACTTGGTAGATACATATTTCTTACCCGCTTGTATGTTTAGTCAACTGAGTTTTATACACATATCTCATATTTATCCTCTAGCCATTTCAATAGCTAAAACTCAATTTTAACTGAAAGTGACATGTGTGATACCATTAAAAGAATCATTTATACATTTTAGCATAGCCGATATTATTACAAACATAAATCCACTTTGTTTTATTTTATGTTAATTGTAGACGACGTATTTAAAATGAAAACTTTATCTTCAGGATAACATTGCATAGTCTAATCTTCGATTTCACCAAGATACAAAGTTTTGTCACTGGACGCAGATAAAATCAGAGGTTCTTTTGAATGAAAATCGACATCATTAACGCTGCCATTGTGACCAGGTAGCTTATAAATTACACGCCGGCTTGTTGTGTCCCAAATATAAACATAGCGATCAGAAGAACCAGCAGATATCTAGTAATTAAATATATAAACTTTGATACAAATAATATAATAAATTTTTACCTTGCTGCCATCCGGTGACCATGAGCAACGCAATAGATTCTTTTCAAAGTTGTGTTGATGTCCTTGAAAAATTTTTACGCACCTTTCAACCGGAGCATAGGGGCGTACATCCCAAATTCGAAGCGTATTGTCCATGGAATTGGAAAGTAAATAAGAACCATCTGGTGATAACGAAATCCCCGTTATTGTATCAGTATGTCCACGTAATCGGTGCAACACCTGTTGATGCTTGCGTACATCCCAAATTTTTATTTCATTATCAATACCACCGGAGATCAATTGATCTCCAATATCATTGAAACATGCCGCAGTTACTTGATATGGCGATTCCATTGTGTGTACCGAATTTTTTTTTCGTGCATCCCAAATTCTTATAGTTCGATCATCAGAACCGGAACACAGCATTTGGTTGCCCCGGCGCGTACGATGAACAGTATTTACAAAATTTGTATGCCCCTTTAGTTTACGTACTCGCTGCCCCGTTACAATRTCCCAAATGGCGACAGTTTTATCGGTTCCACATGTATACACATTTGATCCGTCCGTCGAAAAATGTGCTTCCAAAACGGCACCGCTGTGGCCAGACATTACCATTACATTTTCACATTCGCCATAAACATTCCAAACATCTGCAAGGTAAATGGGATGAATTTAATTATACAATTCTCAATTTTTATTTGCACTGACATATTTGTCTATCAAAGCCTGACGAAACCAGTATGTCGCCATCCGGATGGAATTCAGTTGTAAAAATCTCTCCCTCATGTCCTTCCAATAGCATTATTGGCGCCATTAAATTAGATGTACGTCGAACACCCTAAAAACTTATTTATTAGAGAATTTAATGAGGCGGAAGTACAAGTATTCAAACCGATTCCATCAAAGCTTTATCACGATTGGTGTATGCAATAAGATCATTTTTGCTGCGTTTTGTATCGTGCGCCAACACTAAGCTTGTCCCCGGTCTTTTAGTACCCATATTTTTATAATTAATCCTTTAACGAACAAAATTTGTATACACGCTCTCATATAAAAACAGTTCTACAGTACATATGTTGCGTTTGAACAAATTGTTCGGTATATCAACCACAGGGCRCTTCATAAACGCGATTTTTATAACAGATTGCATGAGATTAATGAAATTATCGACAAGTTGCCAAATCTGTATACATACTTATTATTAAATGCAATAACTGCATAACGCATTCAAGAGAACGTATACAATATTACACGACTGATCTTTTGATTTAAGATGTAGTTATATCTTTTTTATTATTAAACTTATTCATTTAAACTTTTTTCTCAAGGGATTTATTTATTTCTTATTTTTTCTACTTTTAGTGCTGCCAAATGATTAAAAATAATCTTTGTCGTTACAATAAGAATTCGTCTGAATACGAATCTTTAATCTATAATTAAAAAATGAGTCATCGAACTCCATTTATTTCAATTAGAATTTGATTTGCTTTTATAATGTAGTAGAATAATTACTGATAATTAATTAWTTTTATTAAATGATTGCTTCTGACAACAGAGTATTCATGACGGTCTCCAYAGCAACGGTTATTTGACTTGCATTTATCGGTAGTTAATAAAAGAACAATTAAAGTTGATAAGTACTGTTTAAGTGGTTAGAAATAGCTTTAGTTCTTCGTGCGGCAAAATGGATGCAAGCTTTGTCAGTCAAATGTCCTGCATTTGTGTTGGGCCGAAACGTGCAGGAAAAACCCACCTTCTAAAGGCACTGGAGAATCCGGACTGTATTGATGAGACAACCTATTCAATGCCAACAAATGGCACAAATATTTTTACAATCAATCTTTCAACAAAGCTTCCAAATGCTTCAAACCCAACTGAGAAAAAACAGACAGATTTAAATGATGAAAAGACCAGCAACGAAGTCTCAGGCGCCACAGAGCTAAAGTGTAAGAGGGCCAAAGCTCCATTAAAATGCATACGAGTTTTGGAAATTGGTGGTGCGATGGCACCACTCTGGCGACAATATTATGAAAAAGTGTCAAAAATAATTTATGTCGTTGACACTTCAAATCTTTGTCAAATTTCTGCAGCAGGTTGGTTTACGTAAATGTGCATTTATTTTATAATAATTCTCAATTACGATTTTGTGTATTTGAAGGGGTTCTGCTCTATTCTATATTGGCCGACCCTCGATTGCAGCGCTGTCGAATTTTGTTAGTTTTAGCTAAGATGGATTACGCCTACCGGCARATGCGCAATGAAGCTTTACTTATGCTACAAATATCCGTGAGAACTCTGTATTTCGATTCAGAAATACAATTTTAAGTAGAACTAGAAGTTCAGGCACAAATTTTCAAGACCGTTCGATTACTTTATAAGTTCCTATCATTTTGTTACGAAGATCTGTACTTTAAACAATAATTTGCATATATTCCTATTTTCTTAATTTTTTTTAGAAGCTTCAAAAGGAAATTCGGCAACAGTTAACTATTGTGGAGGCTAGCGCCGTCAGTCACGTGGGTTTCGAAGCTATATATGCCTGGTTAAAGATCCCTTAGAATTTTCAAGTAAAATGTAATTATTTATTTACATAAAATTGATGGAACTCGTTTACTAAAATAAATAATATACGTACATACATACTTAATATCAACTTCAATGTTTGCTAGATTAGGGCGCTGTCTGCCCTACTGAATCTTTTGTAGTTTTCACGCWCATACGTTAGAGTTTGTAATGGGCTTGCATGTATTTTAAATTACTGCTGATTTCCGGACTCTCTCTCAGCACTTCCTTTGCTGCCTGGAGATACGATTTGGCGCGCATCAGATCGCCAGAGTGTGCTGCCAGTACAGCCAAGTTATTAAGGGCGGCGCCGCTGCAGGCATCCGCTGTTAGACAGAGCTGAAGACATCGACGAGCCAAATGAAAATCGCCAGTTGACTTGAAAGTAGATATTAAACATTCATTTATTATATACCTAGCCTACATAGGTATCCGTATTTATTTTAAATATATTCTGTGACCATACATATGTACCATGCCYGAATATGAGTGATTAGGTGAGTGTGCTAAAGTAACTTACCAATGCGACAAAACTCATGTTATACCATATGTCCGCTTTTTCATTGGTAGTCTTGGACAGCAGCAGAGCTCGCTGAAAACAAGGAAGTACCAGGTCGATTTGTCCCCCATACAAGCAACACAATGCAATATTGCAATAGAGTTCTGCCGAGTGAATTCCCAAAGCTAGAATTCGCCTAAATTAAAACCGTATTAGAGTTCRTTTGCCAGCATGGAATTCGACTCACCTGTAGTACATAAGGGCCATCTCAGGATTTCCATCGTAAAAGTGATTCAAAGCAATTGAGGCTAGCGCTTCGATATTTATAGGATTAAGCTTGGTGATGAGACGATATATTTGCATGGCACTATCGGGTTTGGATAGAGCATCAAAAATACGCCCTTGTTCGATGCGAAATGTGACATTGAACGGATGTCGGTCCACAGCCATACCGATGAGTTCGAGTGCACGTTCGGGTTCACCCAGACGTTGATATAATCGTGATAGCAGTAAAAACGTATCGGGATGCGGAAATACTGCCAATGATTGCACGAGAAATGTTTCCGCTTTTCGTGGAGACCGTAATATAAGCAGACACCGGCCTATTTGCTGATCCCACCACCAATCGACTGGTGCCCCTGAACGAGTGGAGCCAGAAGTTCGCTTTTGTTTGTGCACCTCCATGACAGCTTCGCAAAGTGAATATGATTTTTGAACATCCGATTCATGATAGTAGAGGAATTGAAAAAGCGCTTTAATAAGTGCCTCTCGTTCGGCGTATATCGTGGGATTGAGGCGTGAAGCTTGATACAATTTCGCGGTAACATCACCAACCGTATATGCAGCAGCAGAAGAAGCGCGAATGCGCGAAGCWGTACCACATCGTGATGCTGTACGGCTACCCATTGAAGAACCAGGTCGAGAGGTAGCAGTGCCCGGCCGCACCTTAGAATATGGGCATGCCATGACTATTTGAATATGAAATCTCAAGAGGATCTATCGCCTTACCATACCCGATTTGGGTCTCATGCTCTTACTGCTCTGCGCGGTCGCGGTGCGGCTCCCTTCACTCATTGGTAGGTCATTTCTTTTAGTAGCTGTGGTGCGAGCTCGCAGCGTGCTTGTAGTTGGTCGTGGTATGAAGGCTGTTTTAATTGAGGTACCTGGCCGGGCGGCTGTGGCGATTCGCTCCAACTCCACTTCCTCATTCTCTGTGTTCGTACGATCCCAGCATTAATAATAAAAACAAAGACAATGCAAAAGATCAAAAAGTACTCGAACCCACTTTTAAGCAAATGTAATATAATACGAGTGCACTAGCCGGAGAGTATGGTATGCGATCGTGTGTATAAGCTAGGGGCGGAATCAGGCTATGCAACAATAACCAAAATGTAGCACCGCAGCATTATCACCGAGTATGCCTGTCTATGTGTGCATACATGTGTATGAAAAAAGTAATAAGTAACGAGATGAAAATAAAAATTCAGGGTGATTGAACACGTTGGAATGCAAGAAGCGTGGCATGAGTATTCGGGCATTGAGATGGTGTGCGGCTGTGCAACTGCCACGGCATGGCATGCCAACGGAATGCAGCWGAAATATTCCAATGCAATCGTAATCCGTTAAGCCACTCAAGCTCGGAATTTTCAACATTCATGTCGGCTATCCACACATACAAACATATGTACATATAAAATGACACAAAAGCACATATTTATGAGACTGGTTAAAAGATAGCGATTCTTTATATATATTGAAATACATTGGTGAACCTTAAGGAATGGGTGCTCGGAAAATGGTCACAAAGCAATCACCAGATGTKGACTTTTACATTTCGTTGTAGCAGCAGCCCTCATTTACGCCCTTGTATTGTATGATTCCCCTTACCTTGACGAGAAACTTACAAATACTGTTTTTTTAACAGCTTGCTTGTTTCAGTTAGGTAAAGGACCCAAAACCCCTCCTCATTTATCAATGCACAGTTAATAAGGGATTAGTAAACGTTCCACTRCGCCACAGTTTAAGCTACTTGGCAACAGTGCTGCAGTGCTGAATATATGTACATATGTATGTATAGTTTGGCTACTGTGTTATTCCTCTTGACAGCARTCAGATGCACACATTCATACTTACCCCCCTCGAAGGCATCGTCCGTCTCCAGATCGTCGATGTAGACGCGCTGGGTAAGCGCGCGCATTTTTAATTGCCATACGCCCTCCATCATCCACGTGGGCATGCTCACTTTATTATTATTACCATTGGTATTACCATATTTTGTGTTGTTGCTTTTAAAGTTTTGGTTGTGGCTTCGCCCCTGCCTTGAGCCGCTTGTGAGATTCAGGTTGTTGCTGTTGCTGTTGCTGTGGTTATTGTTCCTGACTATGCTGCCGCTGCCACTGCCACTACCGCTGCCGCCAACTCCCCTACTGTACTGTGCATCGGCCTCGTGGCTCTCCGACGAAGAGGTAAACATTTGCACATTCGTTTCATGGCCAGTGCGCAACATGGCATTGCACACCTCAACGCATTTTTCATATTTTCGCCGCCGAAACAGTGAAACCGCTTGAAAATACTGCCACTCGAGTGCGGCTATTGTTATCGTCGGCGGCAGCTGTGGCTCCAACTCCGGCTGAGACTGCGAATGTGTCTGCTGTATTGAAAGTGACGCCATGGCTGTCGTGGCATTCGCACAAGCTGAACTGGTGGCTGTGCCTAACAACATGCGCGTTGAGGGGAGCGCTGCCAGCGGTGCCAACGGAGCCAAAGGAACTGCTGTCGTCATCCTACCGACCGTGTGCGCTTCTTTTTTCGTTTTGTTGGCGTTTTGCTTTTCGTGCAATTGCCRCTCAGATCCTTGCCTGTTCTAGGTTTCCTCTGCTCGATTTCTTTTTTATGYGAAGTGCTTGCTGCCTCAATCGCTCTTTAAATTCAATTGGCTCCTCTGACTTCAGACATTATTGATTTAACCTGTTGGAATTTTTAACAMCGGATATGAACTAATTTCAACAATTTCGAAGGTCACACAATTTGATTGGAATTCCTTAGAAGCCATCACATTTTTCGCAAAGTATACATACATACCAACTACAAAACTGCTAACCGAAAATGTATTATTTATCTATTTTATGTTCCCACATTTAATAAGCAGACATTGTGTTCTTAAAGTCTTCGGAAATATTAGTAAATGAAAACTTTTGTTTGGCATTTTCCGTTGCCATGGCGGCGCGATAGTTCAAGGTTGCGCTTACAGGGTGTTTATTCGTACTATTAGTCGATCTTCGATTCGAGGTTTTCTGCTGGCTGTGCTGGAGCTCTACTCCTCTGKCCAAAAAAAATTTGGCGCATCAAATACAGTTATTAAGATGGTTCTTCATTGCATTCTCGCATGTAAAATTTGAGGAAAGTAATTGGTGAATAGAAGGGTTCAAAGGGCTTTAGTTCTTTAGGGAACGTGGAACAAATGTGGCAGATGTGGATATCTGAAAATTAAGTAGTTTTAGAGGAACCATTTCGGACTGGTCCATTTAAGGGCCCATCCAGACATACCATAAAGCTGAGCAGCACGTCGCAAATATTTGTAAAGCCTTCGCCAAGTTGGCCATGCCGTCAGTATTTCTATCTCTCCATAACAGAAGCTTGATTTTCAACATGATCTTTCAAACACGGTTCTTGCTAAGCGGACTGCTAGATTCTGTTTTAACCTTCGAAAAGAGCAAAGCCCTTTTTCATTTGTTCGGCAAGGCAAAGGACACGAAGTTAATAATTTTCAGCGACCTCTTCTGSCCGCCGATTTTTAAATCTGCGAAAGTCTCAATTATTGCTCATGTCGACTTGTCCCAATTGGGAGACGTTGTATATGCTTGCGAATTGAAATGCTGCGCCTGATGCCTTGTTGTAAGCATTTCTCTGCAATATCGGAGCKCATTAACATGAAACTGCTACTGTGCAGCAATTGGTGTTTTTCTTTGATTTTTAGGACCCGAGTCGCCGGCCAGAGGGCGAAGCGTACAAGGCACAGAGTAGCTGCAGAAATGGCAAAGCAAATAAAAGAAATGGCGGACTAAGGCCAGCCCGTTTCCTTGACGATTGTCATGTGTTGCGTATGCGCAGTTCAGCGCCAAAAGCGTGATGCAGTAGCAGCAATGTGAGGCATACATAAATATCTTTATATACATACATACATACATAAGTACATGCGTTTGAGTAGGATATGGGGATGGATGTACATACATATGTGAGGTTGTATGAATTTTCACGCYCCATTTCGTACTTTCCAAATGCAAATAATATAAAAAGTATATTTTCTAAATATCATTTAAAACACGCGGTAAGTGCAATACTACCCGATAAGTAAAAAGTGAATAGTGCCACCTTATTCCAATTGAAGCCACGCTTAAAGAGACCCATCTTACTTATTTATACGACGGCCCCTTCATTAGGGCTCATTTCAACTATTTCGAAATGCACACTGTAAATCTGGCGCAAGACTCCTGGCTGCTGATGCGAGTATGTGAGTTGGGTTTGAGCTTGGTTTCGGTTCGATTTGGTATGTTGCKCCGCGTACTTTGGTATTGCATCGCGMATTCGTATTCGATGGTATTTGGTGCATCGTGAATTTCACTTTATTTCAGTCATTCCAGCCAGTATGGGCAACAAACGATTCAATAAATCGACAATCGAACGATCGACCGATCGACCGATCCAGTGTTCCAGCGCTCTTTTGCCGTTGGTATTATGGAGCTTTGGCTGCTTCCCTCCCCCCAAAGCTCTGCGCCGCCATCGATTGCTCAGCTCTCGCGGCTCGTACGCGTTTGGTAGCTAAAACAAGTTTCGGTATTTATGCTGTTTACCTTCTTTTCTACGTACATTTGTTTTTAAGCATATGAACATACATACATACATACGTACACATATGCACATATGCACAAATGTTTATATGTTTGTATGCGAAATGTGGAGATATGTTTTAATTTGAATTCGCTTTACTTTGTTCGCATTTGGCCGTATTACTTGACGCTGGAACTGTGTATGTGTGTATGCGTATGGATACAAATGCGTTAATATGTAGTTGACAATGTGCGCACACAACAAAACATACATACATACATACCTGCCCGCATACAGCATTATAGAAAATTCTTCGCGAATTGTTTGCCTTTACGGCGTTCATTGGTAATTCCCCAAGTGATTTTGGGGCAAAATAAAAATTCCAATCATTTCAAAGCGTCGCTCTTCCCCGTCAATGTCTACAAACAGGCGTGTATATACATATGTACAGGTAAGTGTATGTCAGAAATGCAGAATAGAATGCTTTTCTATTCAAATTCAGAACCTGGTTAGCTCCATTTTCGCCTCGTAATGCTGCAGCTTTTGTAACTAAAGATTATTTCGAATCCGTCGCACCACAAGACGGACTTGTTGCCTATTGAACAGGATGAAACATTGTATCCAAAAACTTTCTGACATTCCTCCAACTGTTTTGAGAATGTGGTCTAGGCTGCAACAAGTCAAGAACCTTTTCCCTTAGAAAAATCGGCCAAGGAGCGCGTGTACATATGTGTGTACGTGTGTATGTGCATGCATCGCAAGAATGAGGCGGGAGGAACGCGCGTTTATAAAATGAACTGAAAAATAAGAAAGACTAAATAAATAAAGAATACGAAATTGCTAGCCTTCTGAACACAACAGCAACAACTACCCACTGTCCCAGCATGGCGATGGAACCAGTTCGCGAGAATCTGTAAGTTGGATATGCAGGCATAACTTGAAAGGGCTGAGCTGAGTCGAACCGATGTAAGGAATGATATGTATGTACGTAGGCATGGAGGTAGGAGCCTTTCGAGCTCGTGCGGCAATTTATGTGCACAGCATCAGCTTATTCTTCGGTGAAGCCTGACCTGTCTTGAAGTTGCCTGTTTAGCTGACTACTCGTCAGTTGGTCTCGAGCGCCGATCGAACTGATTTATTTATTACTTGAAACGTACATACATATACTATATGTATAACTGCTAAGATGTGAAAATGTATTTTCCATCTGTTCATATAAGCTCTAAAGTTTGGATAAGTATCTACAGTTACATACATATCACCGAACAACTTTTTAAAGCGTCTTTTTGAAACCAAAATGATTACAGGGCCAGARTCCGATTTCTAATCCGGTGGTTTTTACTAATGTTTGCATAAAAARGCTTATCCGTTCCAAAAGCTTTTCGTAGTCGACTTGAATTTCACGAAAACAAAAATAAGCCCGAACCAACTTCGTGGTTGAGAAGTCCATTGAAATCGGTACAGAATGGGAAATTATTTTATTTGCGCTCATAAATCTTAAATTGTAACATTCTAAACTTGCAGTAAATAGTTTTGGTATGTAATTTTAACTGTAGTCATGATAAAAAGCTACCGAGGCTCAATAGGTTGTTGAGGAGACGATTTTCAGTTTCAGGGTTTCCTCAGCTTGAGTCCCAACTTTAGAAAGCTGTTTAGGGCTTATTTTACTGACCTTCGTTCCTTGCCTTCACCTTCGTCGTAATCACTACCTTTTCGCGGTACGACCATTCAAGTTATTTATTGTTGCTGTCACTGGCGTCGCTATTGCCGCCGCTGCAGCAGACCAATGGRATTTCACTTACACATCCAGTTCAACCGCGCTATGTCGTACAAACACAAGCGCAATAAAAATTCTTACGACGTACAGACATTTACACGTATGTATATAGTATACGCGTATTCTTTTTTGTTTTTGTAGTTGTCGTGCCTCGTTCTTACCCCTCAAACCTCTAAGCTGAATAAAGTAAACTCTTTATTAATCAGCATGCAATTGAAGGCAAGTCTTCTTGGCTCTAGTTGAGTAACAGCTTTGGCCCATGTCTATCTGTCCGTCCGTGTAAGCTATAGCATGTGCAAAATTTGGAGTACAAGAGTTTCTTGACACTCCTAGTAGGTGTCCTGTGGATGCGGATAAAGTTYATAAATGGCGAAGGTATGTAATGTTCGGCTACTCCCGAACTTCGGCTTTACTTCGACTTATGTTTTTACTGGTGAGTGTTTTTAAAATCTAACAATTTTTAAGGTCGCGAATAAGTTCGAAAGAGGGTTATTAATCTACTTAAACATCTTCTAATAAGTTTTGTCGTATCTTCGGCTATCTTTCAGGCTTTCGGCAGTGGGTATGGTTATTGATGGTTTTCGTCCGGATGTAATAATTTTTCCAAACGCTAAAACTTATTGTTTATCCTGCTTTCTTATACTACGTTTCAATCAGACTGTACTTCGTACGATCCGCAGTCACCAAAACAGGTGTTGCCTACTCCTGAAACGCACTGGGAGCGCCAGCCCATCTAAGAGGCTTAGAAAGAAATAAACGAAGATATTTGGTACCCAATGGGCTTTTTTGTTGTCTCGCAAATATCTGTGGCCTATTCAACTATTGGCACAAGTGTGCATACATAAGTAAATAAATAATTAAATTCATAAGCTCACTTGAAGCGCATATCCACCAAGATTTGTGTCGGTATGTATACACGATCGTATTAAATCGACATTTCAGGTTAGCCGCGCCCCACCCGCTTACGCAGGTTTACACCAGGCTTAAACATTTGCCGCATTCCAATTAGAAAATATACGATACCCCATTTATATTTATGGTCATTCAAATGTCTACGCTGGCAATGCTCCATGCATACCACACCACTACCAAATACATACACACAATTGAATGTGTGAATACACTCATATACATACATATGTACATACATGCGCTCGATCGCAGAAAATATTCGGCGGGCACGAAAAATGAACAACAAATACTAGATTTCCAACGATCGCGATTTTGAACTGAAATGCTGCTCATACAGCGTTCGGAGCCCCCAAAGTCTCTCGCCATGTCTAAAAGAGAATGCKCACACTCGTATGGTATGGTATATTGTACTACATACATAGAAAGTTCATGAATTCATGATCGTGCACACACACGCACACACAGTATACAATACGATGGACAGATGTATGCATGTGTGTTTGTATGAAATTATCAACAAAATAGCGCATTCCAATCTAAAATCACGTTTTCAATAAAGCAACACCGAGCAACGAGTATCTTTACGCTGGTAGCTGGTATTTGGGAGCAGCAACAGCAGGTATCCCAAGAAATATTCGCACCGCACTACCATTAGCGCACGGCTTGGCTCGGCTCGCCGATACRACTCACACAAATGCACACACGCAGGCACAGTGAAGCAAAAGTGTAGCTGGCACAAACAGGTATACGAGCTAAATGCTCGATTGCTCAGCACAGAGAGGGTCAGGAATCTTCGTATGGCGGAGACGGAGAAAAATTGTGGTTTCGCGGGGCGTTTGGTTCAGTTCGGTTTTTGGTGCTGAGCGAAGCGGTCAAGATTTCGATACGTTTGAGCTAAAAAATTACTTTTCTGTAAATATATACAAAAAAAAAAAAAACAAAATCTGAAATAAAAAGGTATAGAGAAGGAAAGAAACTCACCAGAAATGTTCCGCAAGATATATTGGAATACGTGAAGTGAAGTTATCAGTGGTTACAAAGATACTTGAGCGTTTGAGTGGAAAAAGTTAGCGAAATAAATGAATTAAAGTTGGGCAAACGGAGRAGATACGACAAAGCGAAACAACTTGACAGTTTCTTCATGCTGATTTAGCCGAACTAGTGAGCTGAAATACTGTGTCGAAAGAAAGTATGTTTTCATGTCGAAATTACACGAATATGTTCGTTCATGCATATAGTACGTACATATGTATATAAATAAGTATAACTGTGGATAAATATGCGAATAATTTTAGCAAATTGTGGAATGTTTAAATTAGTGATAAGTGATCTCACAGCATTTGCGTTCGAGACGAAAGGCAACGGTCGACTTGGAAGTGTTTTGCGATCGTTTCTTAGATTATTTGGATACTAATTACTTATGTATATTCATAGTTACATGCATGTACGTATGTACTCAAGTATGTATGTGTGTGTGTGTGTTGGTATGAATTTATGAGGTGGTTGTGCAAAGTTCGCTTACTAATCAGTCAAGAATGTGCCATATTAATACGCGGCGATACTTGTGACCAACACAACAATTGAACAACAGCAATAATAATGGAAATAAAAATGATAATCATAATAAATGAAAAGGCAATTCGGAGATTTCGTTGATCGTATTCAACGGCTTTGAAGATCCCATGAATTGTGGTGTGCCATGTATTTATTGCATGAACGGCGGTCATTTCGATTGAGTGCGGTGAATGTGCTGTTATTTTACAACAATCTGTATACAAACAACAACAAATGGTTATAATGCAAATACCATATAATATGCATACATGTGTATGTATGTTTGTGCAGACAAATAAAAGCTTTGCAATTGGTCTGCACCGTGGTGTTCTGGTTAGAAATGATTGTGACAATGGGGAAAGAAATCCAATAGAATCTAGTTGAAAATCCACGTTGCGTTCTCTAAATACGCACTCACATAGCAGACGCACCCATACTCGCGCACACACAGACAAACACACAGGTATGCTCAAAGGCGCTCAGAAACCCCAACGATGGCGAAGACGCCAGAAATCGCGCGCCACTCTACGATCGGTCCGGTTCCTCAGCGCATAGATATATCTGTGTGTGTGTGTGCGGTTGGATTTTTGAGCCGTGGTGATTCTCTCGCATTCGGTTTTCAAGTGCTGACTGATAAAATGGGTGTGTGTGTGTGTGTGTGTGTGTTTGTCGTTATCGCTTTCTGTGTATGTGCTCATGTAAAAAGCGGACGAAACGCCGAAATGGAGAATAGAGGCACAGCGAAGCACAACAAAAAATGGCATGACATTCTTTCGAGCAACAACAAAATATATGCGYATGGAGATAGCAATGGTTCTCCCATTACAATAACAACGAACGAYATCGAAGAGAAAAGAGCAASGCTTACTGCAGCGAGAGAAGKGGCAACATTTGTACTCCCGCATTCCGGGCATGCACCGGTGTATGTGTGTGTGTGTACTTGTGCTTACCCTGCAGTAGTGCAATCTTGTGCGGCAGCGGCTTTAGCATTAGCCTCAAGTATTCTCGATATGCACCACTARCACCCTCTGCAGCAACAATAATGCTGGTCCATTTTGATTTAACAAATTCGATGCCAAATTTGCCTTTTCATTGCTGAAGTAGCCGAATTCTTTGTGTGCCCGTTGGCCCCCGGTCACTGGTGTGATAATCGTCGGTGGGTGTTGGATCACTCATTTAATTTGAAGATACGTACATACATATGTATGTATGTACATGGGTTCATACATACGAATTTGCCTCAATTAGACACTGAGTCAATTGGAATGCGAGCCGAACGGAAAAACAATACAGCACCTACAAATCGCCGATAGCATATTGTACAAACACTTAAACACTCACATACATACATATATACAAATAAAGGGATACAATTGTACAAAAGTGTCAATCGAGTTTTTCATGGAAAGGTGAAATCAACACTCAACACACCCATTTGTTCAAATGTCTTTAATTAAAATTGTGTTTCTTTCAATGGGCAATGCTAAATTTGTGCTATGTATGTATATACATATATACATATGTGTACATATAATGCATGTAAGTGCAGTATTTAGCATACATTCTTATGTAATATAAAGGGAAAACGGATTTTGCAGTAAAGTGATAAGCCAAAATGTTCATATGCACGCGAAGATGAAAAAACGAGTATTTATTCAAAATTTCTAAGCGAAAAATGTGCGCCATACTTTAAATAGATTAAATTTTTTTCGAGAGAAAAGTTCTGCGAAAGATTTATGATCCTTTGCGCGTTGGCCACGTTGAGATATATGACGACATTGACATAGTTCAGCGAAGTAAAAGGTCATGTTGTCCGAATGGACGAAAACACTCCAGCTCTGAAAGTATTCGACGCTGTACTTGCSGGGGGAAGCAGAGGAAGKGGAGGACCTGGCTACGCTTGGAATATCCAATTGGCGCCACGTAGCGAAAAGAAGCAACGACCGCGCGTAAGCGGTGTCTACGCCAATTAAGAAGAAGATACTTTAAATAATAATTAGAAATATAAACTGTGTATTTGCGCTATTTATTTCAACTCCTAATTAATGAAATTAATGTGCACGAATGCATGTAAATATTCTTTGTAGAAAATATTAAAAAAGAGACCGAACCCCATTTTAATCAGGTGTTTATATTTGTATCCGCAGTTGTTACATAACGCAAATGGCACACATTAGCAGAAATTGGCGGCAAACACAGTCGGTTTAGGGGTCGTTTAATAAGTCTTGCCTTTGGCGCAGTGGAGGTAAGCCCTGAATAATACATCCTTACCAATAGATTTTATATTGCTTTATTAGATTTAGCAGATATCCAGGCAATCCAATTTTGATTTTTTCATTTGCCATTTTACTCTGATTTGTGTCTCACAAACGGTCGAACGTTTTGAAGTACTGCCGCTCCGTTGGCCGTGCTTCCTCTTGCGTTATAACCAACTGAAGGTCATAGATGAACAAATACCTAATCATCAGTATTTAAATGTTCTAATAAACAGCAGAGTCGAGAACAATTGCCTGCGATTTCAGAGGTTCACATGTGTGTTGCGCATATAATTTAATATCAATGAAACTAATTAAATCCATTTGATATTGAACGGCTTATTAGCTGGCCTAGCCCATCCGGCCTGCGACACGAAAACAGAGCACACCTTAAGTTGGTTAAACAATGCCCTCTGAACAGAGTCTTTATTTACACATATTGCATTCCTTCAATCAACATATGCCTATGTTTTTAGTTTAMATAACGTAAATATGTACATACACATGTATAGACWTTGGCGAATATTTAAAGCTCAATTTAACGCCAGTTTTAAATAACCACGTATTTACATAAGCTTTAAGTAAACTTTGGGATGTGCTTGCTTGGTGTTGTTCAAAATTTCTGTGGAACTACGGCCATTATGGATGCATCTGCTTTGCGGAAGTGGACTCRAATTAGATATTGTTTACCTTGAATCGACGACTTTTAGAAAATTTGTTATTTCTTAAATTTTTTTGTGATATTTATAATCARCTAAACGCTAACGCACGCGACACAAGTTAGTACTTTGATATTGCATATTGATTTCTGGYATTTCTAATATGTTTCTTTACATGCTTACTTACCTACTTACGTACATATGTACATACAAACATATCATTTTACAAATACTTTATATATGACTGTGACTGTGCGCAATACCGAAATTTCACTTATCAATAACAAAAGACTTAAGCGACAAACCCTTACAAATGCAACTTCGAGCGACGGTCTCAAAGAAAGTTACACGTTAGAAATCATACTTACACACGCATATATACACATATGTATATACCTGCATACTTAAAGATATATTCGTGCATATAAATTAATTATTTTAAGTTTTTATTCAACGAATATGGACAACACCAAGGAGAGAATAGCAACGGGGAGCTGTTGMATTTAAACACATGTAAATATTTATTAACTGGTGTATGTATGCTTTAGAGTTCGGGTTATTTGGAACTGTGCCGGGGAAAAGATTTGATGGAAAAGAGTTGGAATAATCGCGGAATTAGTGCTAATAAATTTTTAAATCGATGAAACATGATTCGTTAAAAAGGTGTTATAGTAGTAGTCAGGGAAGGTAGTATCAGGCTTTGATTCGTCTTCTTCTTCTTTATTGGCATAGAAACCACTTACGCTTAAAACCGAGTCTTATTCGAGGCTGTTGTGTGCTTGAGGCTTTGATTCAAATATTTATTTCCATGAACTTGTGCTCATCAGCGTAGCAGGCGATTGATGGGCACGTGATCCCTTCTTCGGTGGTTCACAGCGATCGTCTGTCCTCGGCTTTCCACTTTTGTAAATCTACTTAAATTACGTACTTTTTGACAATGAAATGTCCTGCTTAGGAAACCAAACCAAAAAAACAACAACAATTTATATGCACCACACACTCTATAAACGTTTTCCTACACTTTTTTTTACACCAACCACATAACAATAATTTTCTTGAATTTGCTTGATTGCAGAAAGATATTTCGGAAGGGCTTGTTGCATTTAAGTAATGATGCAGCATGCGAGCGTTTTGCACTGTCAGCGCGCCTTTAGAAGTTTGCGCGTCATCGGCCGAACAACTATCACCAGGATCACGCTTTTTGGCCCTAAGGTAAGTGTGTTAACGCGGTTATTTCCAATTCCATGGATATCTCAAATTCGCTTGCATTTCTATTTTTCCCACTATCAATATAAATCACATTCTAACTTGATATATCGTTGTGCTTCTTTGCAGACTTTTGGGAAATCAGCAACCCAAAACTTTATACTTCCTAGTCGATGCAAAGAGTCGGGTGAGAGAAGTATACACACAAACATGCCTACATTTTGCAGCACAAGGCATGCTCGATACAGAATTGTTCGGTTTGGCGGTGCTCATCGGTAAGTTTTACTTTTACACATCACATCACACCAATCCTCCACATAATATYATATGTACATGAGTATGAGTATATGAAAATGATCTTTTGTCTATCGATTATTTGGAATTTTTCAATTATTAGATTAACCACATAGTTGCCGAGTTTTGTATAAATGGTTAAGATTTTAGAATTTTCAACAGTCCTATCCCATCCTATCAAGACCATATCGATACATAACAAAAAATCGTTTCATAACATCATAATTGAAATACTACCTTCAGATAAAAATTTTAGTTTAAAAAACATCAAGCAATTTTCAATTATGCGTTTACATATTTACATACTAAATGTAGTATATATGTACTTTTCACCCTTTCAATAAATTTCTATTTGCTCCCTACGAAAGCCATTTAATGGGATATTTTTACTTTCCGCACACACGCACATACACACATATATATAAATGTATGTGTATATGGACGACAAATGACACGCGCATGTAATCAATGCTTTATTTATCATATTTGTTCTTGTTCAACCAAAAATGTTGCAAGTTGCAAGTGTTGTGCTTCTGAAGCACGTTGCCACCGATGCGCTGCATTCCTGTATCTGACAATGGCCGTACTTTTACCACATCCAGTTGCATGCTGCCGCTACCATAGCATTCGCAATTCAACTTTAGGCTAAGGATTGGTGGCGAACGTCACAGATATGAGCGTAAGTGTGTTGCTGCACACACAACCAGCCATGGGTGTACAAGCATGTGTGTGTGTGTGTGTGGATGTGCACATTTACATCTACAAACCTTCTTCCAAGTGGTACCTACATATCTCTTCACTGACGCTCCGCCACTATTTGCGCCTTATAATCGCCGCAATCGTTGCAGTCACAGAGCAAACCAACTGCCTGCAGTCTRCAGCCAGTTTGGTCAACATTCCTTAGCTGTTTCGGGATTTGTATTTATGTTCCTGTCTTCATTCTGTTTTCAATRTACATACATGCATAGCTGCTACTTCTACATATTGCCGGGCTGCCTGCCTGCATTTATGGTTTCATGATTTTGTTCTTGCGGCTCAGAGGTGTGCGTCCATTCTCTTTCGTTTTCCGAGCATGTAGCCATGGCTGCTGCTTCTGCGGCTACTGGTTGTGTTGGCAACTGAGCGTCGTCATCGCCACSGTCGTCGTAGTCGACAATTCAACAACAACCACCACCACCACCAACGACTATCGGCCAGCGACCATCAGCCATCGGCGGACGTCCGTCCGTGTGCTGGCCTGAACGCTCTCGTGTTATGGCAATGCGCGCAACTGCTACCTGAATTACTGAACACGCGTCTTGTGTCCGCTGCCAATTGCCAGTTTTGTCCCCCTGCCTTAGCYCCGACTGCCCTTGGCCTTCCACTTGCCACCATCACTCCGTCATTCCACCGCTCACCGCTTGCCGCCGGCTGTGGCTGCATTCCTCACACTCGCCAAGCTGTGGATGTTGCTTCGTAATACCTCACCGTCGCCGTGCTCACTTGCTGGCTGCTTTATTGAACAATATTTGTTGTGTCTTTAGCATTTTTATGTGTTTCTGCTTTTTATGAAGCATTTTTGTGGACCTTTTTGAATCAGTGACTGTTTTTCTTGCCTTGRCCAGGCACACTGCCAACTGGCAACTGGCATAAGCGTATGCATACGGGTTAAGATGAGAATATACATACGCACATACATTCATATAGATGATATAGTAGGTTTGTGTGTGTATTTGGTCACATACCAAAGGATGGATCTCTAGAATTAATGAGGTAAAATAAGCATCGGGCTGTGTCTGCGACCCTTCTCCACCACTACACTTGTCCAAGTAACATCGCTGCATCGTAAACACCAACCAAATGCATTGCTCAAAGCTACAACAATAACAAGCCTCCAATGGCCGCTCAATCTGCCGTGCTAGAAGACTGCTACGGTGTTGCATAGTTGAGCTACTCGCTTGCTGGGCTAGGCGACGTTGGTGCGCTGTAATCACCTTTTCAAAATACTGGTTTATGTTTGTTAGTTTTATTTTTTCATACCTTATCGGACGCTGCACTCGTCGATAAGGTATCAGTATGGTTTCCCGCGGCCCCTAACCCCCTGACCACTGCCTGTGAGTAAGCAGCGCTTGTGTTAAATCTCTGCAAGAGACAAGACAGTGATTCGGTAAGGCATCGAACATATCGAAACTTTTTTTTGTTTTAAACTRCAATATAATGGAGTTGTTGTGGTGGTGCTGTGATAGTGATATGTGAATCTTTTGTTAAGGTCAAACGTGTCTTTAGGAAATGGGTTCAAACGATCTCGTTTCGTTTTTATAAATTTGAGACATTTCATCAATTTGAAAATAGATCCGAAGAGCATCGTACCATTTTATTGGAATCCCAACATCACAAGCTTAGAAAAATGTATCTAAGCTTGGGATAAACTAATCACMCACCCATTTAGAATTTAGTACAGCTTAGTAGTATATAAAAATCCAATCCAATCCTCTTGCACACAATGAATTATTGAATTAAAGTACATCACTTGTGGAGAAAAAAGAACATGTCATTGTCATGGAGTTGTTGTGGTGGTGCTGTGATAGTGATATGTGAATCTTTTGTTAAGGTCAAACGTGTCTTTAGGAAATGGGTTCAAACGATCTCGTTTCGTTTTTATAAATTTGAGACATTTCATCAATTTGAAAATAGATCCGAAGAGCATCGTACCATTTTATTGGAATCCCAACATCACAAGCTTAGAAAAATGTATCTAAGCTTGGGATAAACTAATCACMCACCCATTTAGAATTTAGTACAGCTTAGTAGTATATAAAAATCCAATCCAATCCTCTTGCACACAATGAATTATTGAATTAAAGTACATCACTTGTGGAGAAAAAAGAACATGTCATCTTATTCATACGAGCAAGTCTGCACATCTGCGAGTGATAACACAACAGAAGGAAAGACCTTAAAATATAATATTTTATATGTAAATAWCAAAAGCAGCAGCAGCAGCAGGTAACCGCTGCCAACGTCTGAAAGAGGTATACCAAATAACATCTCAAGTTGAAACCATAAGAGAGGAATTTTAATTTCCGATGTTTATCGGTTGCACGCGATCGCCAACTACAAAACAAAACAAAAATTKACCAATGAAAATCAAGACAAATATAAAAATCGAATAAAAACAATAACCACCGCAACAAGGATATAAAATTTTCTGCTGTTAGTGTTGTTGTTGTTGCTATTGTCGAATCTTCTTTAGTCGCCACTATCTTGACTGCCGCTACCTGCCGATAATGATTATGACCATTAACAATAAATGGAAGAGAAAATGCCGATGTTGGTATGTGGCGATTGCGAAAACAACAAGAATCATGGAAGCACACACACACAGCAACACGAAGCAGCAGAAGCGACTCCATCCATACATTCAAAGATATGAAAATAATTTATAAAAAAAGTACGAAACAAATAAAGCAAAATTGAAATATGTATGTATGTATGTATGTATGTATATAAAAACACGAACTGCCCGACGTAAAAAATAGTAACAAAACAAAGGAAAAAATATGGCATTTCATACCAAACAACTAGTTTCGTTGATAAAAAACTAAGGAACACACACACACGTACGGATGGACATACATATACAAATGCAAGACGCAGCAAATGCTAAGAGGTGTAAGTAAATGCCACGAAAAGAAATTCAAATTCCAGCCAAACCCGCGGAATCAGTAAAATAAATATAAAAAATGACTTGTGCATCTGTACGTATGTATGTATGTATGAATGTATATATAGTATAGATGCCATGTACAGCATGTGTGTGTGTGTATATGTGGGTAGTGCATGCTCTCAGACAGGAATGCTGAAATGGGCAATTCATACTCACAAATATACGCCGGACGATGGACGATTGCACGATGCAGCTGCTTTCCGACATGCCAGATAACCATACGCCAGCTTCACTATGCTATGGCAGAGTGTGTGCTTGGTTCAAGTAGGGAAGCAAACTGACGAAGCTAGATTTGGGCCCTATCGCGAAAATGAAACGTTCAAAAGTAAAGATATCGAAATTAAAGCTTGTCTCTGAGCTCCAATATATTGGATTCGCACATTCTCTAAACATCGGCCTAATCAACCGAATATTCCCTGATAAAAACCGGAGCGAATATTTTACAAAAAATTATTTTTAATATGAAAAACTTTTGAACGCTTAATAATTGATATTTACTCCAATTACAGATGGCGAATACATGTTTGCGGATCCGGAGAGCAAACTCTCCAAATACGGCCCGAAAAGTTGGCGCTCGTCACACACACACGTAAGTTGATGATATGTTTTTCGGTTTACTTTATATTAACTAAATTGCATATTCTAGGGCCTCGACGCAAATGGACGACCTCTCCTGGAATTACACTTTCGTGTTCAATTTTATATCGAGAGTCCGTTTATATTGAAAGATGAGATATCCCGCCATAATTACTACCTGCAATTAAAACACAATGCGCTACAACGGGAAACGCCTAAAGAATATTCAGAACAGTCAATGATATTGCTCGCCGGATTAGCATTACAAGCAGATTTAGGCGATGCACCAAATTCAACACAAACGAGTGGAGGCACAACTTTAAAATCCTTGTTATTGAGAGAAAGCAATTATGGTGAACCCATGGAGTGTAACCACCTAAGCCAGCTTTCTCCACATGCTACAAATTCCCCAGTCAATAAAAGTGAAGTCTCAAACCTAACAGCAAAAAATACAGACATAACAGCAATAACAATAACGGAAACGACAGCTTTACCGAAAACTGAACCGGCAACTGGCATTGTAACGACATTGCCGAAAATCAACAAAACTCCAGGCAATGAGAATGACCGTGTTCTTCGATTGTCCAATTTTCTAAGCACAAAAAAAGTCACAACTTCATCAGCAAATACGGATCCACAAGAACTAATAGGACCAAAATCGTCCACATCAGTTTTCCCTATCAGTGGTAGTTTAAAGCGTAGTCTTGGAGCTATGGCCGCCTCGTTTTCAGCCTCTTCGTCGATGTCTTCTATAAATCGTGAATGTTCTTCTAGCACCCCACCAACAACGTCGACTTCTTCGAGCACCTCTCTTTCGGCGCTGGCTCATACGTCGACGAACATCTCTACAAAGGAATATTTCAACTTCAATGATTATCTACCTGCTGAGCTACGCACGACTTGGGCAATGAGTGCTTTACAGGCCTGTCATCGCGAATATCGTGGCATGTCAACAGCTGACGCAGAGCTTCATTACATTCAGCAAGCCAGTCTTGTGCATGAATGCGTCAATGCGCACATTTTCAGGATGCGTTCTACGAAGAACGAAAATGGTTTGGGCAGTTCGTGGTTTGTGGTTTATTCAAAGGGCATAAAAATTTTCAGTTCCTTTGAAAATCCTCAGCAACAAACCACATTCTTATGGCCCAGCATTACCAAGCTTTCGTTCGAGCGGAAAAAGTTCGAAATTCGCTCTGGAGATTGCAAAATTCTGCTTTATTCTACCTCGGACGAAAAGAATAAAATGCTTTTAACATTGTGCCGTGAAACTCATCAGTTCAGCATGAAGATTGCGGCTCGTCTAAAAGAAGTCATAAAGCGTGAAGAGGAAGAGAGTGATTGTCTTCATGCGTGCTACACATATTCACGCAGTTTACACTTGCCATACAAGAATAAAAGTGACCAGCGCATATCCGTAATTTCGAGCACTAGCTCTAACACCACTTCGGGCATAGTGAGTGACCGCGTTCATTCTGAAGATGAAGTTGAAATCATGATAAACACACCACCTGTACCAATTGCGGCACCGTCCACRGAGAGTTTAGCCYTGGCRCATTTACTTGATCATCCGAGCATTAGTAGACAGACGTCATCCGTGGGTGAAGTCTCATTGAAAGATTTGGAGGAGCAATTAGCGGCGCTATCCGTTCGTCAGGAACGTAAAACGCAACACTCGAATTCCGCAAATTCCGGTGATGAATCACCAGACCGAAGTCACAATTCAGCGGGAAACTCTTCTAGCAGTAGTTCCAATCAGGCATCGCAACGAGCAGCGGACTCTTCCACTGCCACTGACTCGCCCAGTTCGCAGCACAATATTGGTTCCCAGTGCTCATCGACCTGTAGTACTGTCGTGGTTTTACCCAACTCAGACTCTACAAACAATACGTTAACATCGTTGGCGGTGAGTTCTATAATAAATTCAACTCCAATGCAGCGCCGAAATTCTACATCCAGTAGCCTTGAATTGGGCTTTAGTCACACCGCTCAAAATTCCATCCTCAGTGAAGCGGAATCAACTTGTATTGAACACGATTTTGCATCTTCCAGTCGCGATGAAAACGAGAGCGTTTCTGGTGTATATACATTGGCCCACGGTGCTCCACCCACTGAAACTTCAGGTGTATACACAATGCATAGTAGCGAAATGACCGGACAATCGTCTGAGATGGCCGAGTCTGAGAAGAGCTCCCATTATGGAATAAGTATTTTTCAGTCCACCAAAGTGGAAGCGAATGTCAATAATTTGCATGAAAGTCATCCCAATTTGGACTCAGTCGATGGTGGTAATTACCATGGTAAACGCATTAAGAATGAAGAGTTCCGTTTACGCTCAGACTCTAATGTAAGCACAAGCGGCTCCTTCCGAGGAGATGGCAGCGACCCAACCGACAATAAGCACAATCTTCTTTCTGCAGAAGAATTGACCGACTTAATAGTTGGTCGCGGCACATATCCCAATCGTAAGACGGTGTCAAGTACACTAGATTCGGACTGTGATTATGTTACCTTGCCGTTGCCCATCAAAGGGGAATCATACATTCAGGGGCATCGAGATACTGCCCCCACCGATGATGATAATGTTGAAGATTTAATTAATGATTTAATACCGACGGATCCTCCAGCACCCCCACAACGCATCGACAGCAATAACATGAAGCATACAACGAATTTAGCGAGCCTTGGCAATTTACCAATGCGTTCTCCACCGCCATATCACGCACGACATGAAAAGACTGGTCTTTGTGGGCCTCCAGTATGTTCCCCCTTAACACAAAAGACTAGCAATAATATCAAAAGCATTACAGTTGCTACAACTTTTTCCAAAGTGCCATCGCCAATCATTCCAAATGAGGTAAACACAAATCCAGTGGGTGCATCAATATCACGTGCCCCCATTCCAACGGCACCAGCCGTTCGACGTCGTGACCCTCCACCGTATCCGTCATCGGATAAACCGCGTCCCACGTCGCTGGTATCAGTAGAATCCAGCACCTCTTCTCTTAATCATTCCAGCAGTGTTTATTCTTCGGTTGCAGGATCTATGAACTCTTTAAAAACAGAAGAAATTACTGCTCGTTTCATTACCACTCGACCACAAATAAACATTCTAAAAGCCCATACCAGTGTAATTAGTGATAATCAGAAGCCCAGTTATGCTGCTCCAACGCATTGCTCGTCGTCTGCCTCCACAACAGGTTCCATTTCCAGCCAACAYATGTCAAGCCACCTCTCACAGCATTCTGTACACAACTCTCACTACATCAGTGCGTCGCAGGTTTCACTAAACGCCAACAATCCTCCGGCTTTAGCGACAAGACAATCATCCATATCTGCAGCGGCAATGGCACATGCTGCGGCCGCTGCTGTTGCTGCCACCGGAGCAGGCGTCATACCAAGCACAATTGGTATACCAATTGTTCCTTATAGATTGCATGGCGGTCACAGCAGCATGTCATCGTTGCATCAGCAACCACCACCACCACCGCCACCTTATCCAGAAATTAAACCGACACCACGAACGTGTGTTATATTACCAGTGATCAAGCATCGACAGTTTTTACCACCACCACCTCCCAATATACCACGTCAACCGCCGCCACCACCTCCACCATCACAACCAGGAGTTTACGGTAATCAGCTAGCACGCAAACAACTCGAGCTGTACCAGCAGCAGCTYTACAGCGACGTTGACTATGTTATATACCCGATCCAAGATCCTGCAGTGAGTCAGCAAGAATATCTAGATGCTAAACAAAGTTCAATATATGCGGCCATGGCACAAGCGCCACCCCAACCACTCCCACATCACCATCAGTACTTAGCTTATCACACAGGCAGGGCACATGTTGGATCTTGGGAGACATGTAAGGGACACGCGATCTATCGAAGCACACCTTACTTGCCGTTAGCATTATCCACACATTCTCGTTACGCGTCGACCCAGAATTTATCAGACACATATGTGCAACTACCAACCACATATTCGCCGCTTTACAGTCCATCCATGGCCAGCTTATGCTCTACGTATGAGCCACCCCCACCGCCTCCACTGCATCCTGCCGCATTGACAGTACCCAGTACGGGAGCAACAAATTTATTTGCGCGTTCACGTTCACGTTCAGATGACAATATATTAAATTCAATTGACTCTCTTCCAAAGATGAAACGCATGCCTCCTCCCCCACCACCACCATATGTAAACAGACGCTTAAAGAAACCACCGATACCTACACCATCTGAAAAGCCGCCACCAAGTGAGTATCATCAATGATAATTACTTAAATTGTAGTTTCGTATAATTTTAATAAGTATTCCGTTCATAGTTCCGTCAAAACCAACTGCAACCAGTACTGTATCGTCCAAACGTTCATCGACGATTCGCAATCACTTGCCGCCTAGGAAACCGCCCACATTGAATACCAATCAGAGTGTCAACAATATGACCCGCACTTCCAGTGGTGCGCAATGGGCGGGCGAACGTCCAAAACCCAACCCCATATCGTATAATGGCGGCAGTATCTTAGCACACCTTCARGCGAGTGCGGCGGCTGCCCATCGACAAGCTATCACATCTGCTGGAAATATTAAGTCGAAAGAAACCAACTGCGATAATGTSAATGTCGGTCACGGAAACAACGCCCCTACTAATCCACTCGATATTGCTGTACTGCGTGAAAAAAGCAAACACTTGGATTTACCACTTATCTCTGCGCTCTGCAATGATCAGTCATTATTAAAACAGACCAAAGTATTTGCCGCTTCAAAAACGAATCGCACATCTACAACTGTTGCAATGCGGAGTGTAAACGCCAATGCAGCATCCACAAGCAGTAGCCGAGGCGCAACGRTGTCTGCAAATCAAATCAATAACAGCAAATCGGTGCATAAAAGCTTGACAACTAATACTGAAGCTTTCGTTGCAAATGAGGCGGCAAATGCGACAGCTTCGTCCTCAGCTATGGTCTCGGCCGGGACATCAACAAGCATAACAATGCCAACGCTAAGCACTACACTTTCTGCAAACACAAGCACGAAAAGCACAACCTCAACATCATCGACACTGCAATTGGTCTCCGGAAAAGGCCGAAAGTCAGTGGGAAGCCATCGCCATCCCAATGACAAACTTCCACCTCTACCCATGCAAATGGCAGAGGCAAATAACTATGTCATGGATCCAGCAATTATGAAGCACCATAAAAGCTACAATTGTTAAATTTGAAATCTGTAATGACTCCAGTTGCTAACAACCTTTCCAACAGATATAAAATAAGACTCCGTGTGGAAACGCGAAACTTTGCGAAAAAGCTAGGGTATAGTTAAGTATGGAAGAGTGAACGTTAAAATTGACGGCTCTTTCTAACACACCGGCGAGTGGCACTAGGCTAATATATGTTAATGCAATTTGGCACTTGGTACACCCAGTCCATCACAAAGCTGAAACAAAAGAGGTATGCATAAGTACAGGAGGCATAAGATCTTTTGCGATTTCTTTTGTTCAGGTGTTACTTTCTATTCCTAAATGAAAATCACGTCAACGTCGACTATACATAGAACAACGAAGTAAATAATCCTCACGGAAAGTTTCTCTACGAAAAGTCACAGTGTCTAGGTGGAAGGGGTGCAGGCGAGGGTTTTCTCTACATACGCGGACTTTTAGCAAAGGTCTATTCATACTGGTCTGTTGATATATTTTCTCCATGACAACACATTTGTACAGCTATTCCTTGTCAGATTTTAATTGGGTATTTACCTACCTGATCTGATCCGAAATCAGGCGCTGCAGTCTTTCAATCCTATGTGGCATATATGCACACATGTGCCCACTTCATACATGTAAATATGTATGTACGTTAATATAAAAGCACGTAATTGCATTTGCTGGAAATCCAAAAGATATGAGTAATATCTTGGCAATAAACTGACCTCATTTCATTTCAATTATAAAATGAAAAGAAAAACACTTTAATCTAGTCACTTTTAGAAATTCATTAAACAAAAACAAAAAAAAAAAACAAGCAAACAAAAGACAAATAGTACACAAATACTCACAATACAAGTAGAAATTGGGTATATGGATACGAAAATATTTATTTTCGCCGTAGCACATTAAATGGAAACTTATGTCATACATGAGTTTAAATTTGTAWTTATTTATTCCTTCTGTTTTAATTTAATGCATTGTTTTGTTATGCTCCTCTTTCCCACTTTCCCACTTTTTTATAAAATTGCAATGAACAGAAGTGACTAAACCACTACAAAGTGCACATCGATATTTTACAAATATCTGTGTTAAGCAAAATATTATGCACTCGCATACTATTATACGAAATCCGCCCAAACAACTGTGATCGATTTTTATTTTTTATAATTTTTTTTTTATTATTTTAATGTTTCAGACATTAATGCTTCCAAGGAATCGAAAGGGTAGAGATTCTTTACTTTTTTCTTCTACTTTTTCTTCTAAAGGAGAGCAACGACTACACTATAACAGTATATAAATATGTTAGTTCAACGGTGCGTGAAGTTTAGGCTTAAGCAAAGTACGAAAAACACGGAACGAACAAAACGAATCAATTTGATCGAATGGCCGACTGTTGATCGTCGATTGGTTATCCATGAGAAGCCATAAGTCAATACTAATGCAATCTAACCTCTTTTAGTTTCTTAGCAATTAGGGTGTAAGTGAGTAAATTCTTTTAGTTTACCGTATTTATGTAATACATATGTAAATACATATTGGAGATTTTAAATATGCAAAATGCATTTAAGTAAATATTGCCTAGACTTGCCCCACCGTAAGTTATGTAGTAGGTACTCATGCTTACATACATACATACATACATAAGTAAAGAGATACGATTTTAGAAGGTATATTTATAAATAAGTATGTCTTAATATTATTATTATTATTATTATTGCATTCAACAAAATGTACTTATAGACATACGGTATGTTTATGGTATAGTGTGGAAAAGTAATAGGTGAAGTTTGATCTTTCTGTATTTCAGGTCACAAAAATTTACGTAGGCTTTTCTCGTTTAAAAGTCTATAGTTAAATGTGATAAGGTGAATGAAAAACAAAAAGTGATATTTTTGCCATAATTACCTTTACAAATAATGCAGGAATATATACCACACATATACGTATATATTGAATTGGTCAATTCGCAATTCGGGACGAAATTCAATATTCCAGTCTAAGTGAATTCTGAGTGTCAGCTCAAAAGGACAATTTGTTATATCAAGCTGCACCGTGCACAAAAGCATAACTGCCACACTAACAATTATTTTCAAAACTATTGGATGTCACAAAAAGTATGACAGAACAAGAGTCCCAAATTGTTTATTTTCCTTAAATGTATTTCATTCAACTTTTGTGTTTGTTTATTTTTATGTTATAAAAAATAAAAGTTTCATAAATTAAATATATTCAATAGCAATTTAAATAATACTAAACAATATGAAATTGTTATCGCATTAATAACATTATTTAAATGCAAACACTCGCGATTGTACTGAGATGTATATACCTACATATGTTTGTTAAAAGAGAGTTGTAATGAATTATTTGGCTTTTAACTTATCACCGTATACGAAAGTCGAAATCAATCAAGGTTAAAAAGGCATACTAAATTAGATCTAAAAACATTCCCACTGTTTAGCGTAAAGTTTATTATAAATATAAATTTCAAATAAAAATTTATGAAATATACCCATACATTTATTTTCACCACTTGAACAAGTTCGAAATGTGCAAAACGCAGTGTCTTTTGATTTATGACCGAGTTGCATATATCAATTTAGGCAACGGTTCGAATCTACATCATTAAGTCACCAACCACCAAGTGAGATTGAGTAAATTACAGCATGCATTTGTTCCGTCTCATATAAACGATATATAACATCATATAATATTTATTGCATATTAAAAAAATATATAACCATAACTCAGCGTTTTCTAAAACATAATTTAAAGTTCTACAAGTATAAATAGAAATGCAGCCGATTTAATATAATTGCAAAGTTAATTGTTATAAGTATAGCATGCATATATTCACAGACGTTTTCGCAGCCGGAATAACTGCTGCCACTTTGGCTCCTGTTAACATGACTTTGTACAATAGAAGATACTATAAAACTAGTTATACCAGTTTTTCATTTAATTTATACTTTTGATAATCGACTACCTATGTCGTAAGCATGTCCTCATCATCATCAATCGGTGTGCGTTTCCATCGCTTAGTCAATGTCAAAACTATAGCAACAATAAAGAATATGGCTCCAATTGTTATTAAAACAATTCCGGTATAGAACCCATAATCTCCCAAATTCATAACAAGCTGAAATGGCAAATATGTCTACTTTAAGCGACGTACTTGGTGCAGATTCTTACCTTCGTTCGGCTGGCTAATTTCTCATCTAATACAGCTATTTGATTGAACCAAAACATGGGCATCAGAAATTTGGGTAGACCACGATAAATGCTAAAAACACATACATTTATACAATATACACATRCACTTAAAAACGCGTATATCACACAAACTTACTCGAAGTCATTATCAGGTTCGATCATCATGTTGATTTGTAGACGTCCATTTACTTGCAGCGGTATGCCAGTGGTTGGTTCTATTGCTAAGTTAAAACTGTGCTTATTCGAGTCCGGTTCTAACCCTGATATTGCGTCTAGATAGCTACGATCAGCCAAATGAAAGTGTGGAAAAGAGGCATAAATTGGTGCATTATTCCGGCATTTTTTACACTCCACAACGCCGGTTTTCGGGCATTCTTCGACGTTCGGGTCGCAAAAACATTTCTGATTTGGATAATTTTCACCAGAATCAAGCGTCTCCGTCGTTCCTACCCAATTATATGCTGTWATGCCGTATTTTTCTACAGTACCATTTGGCGCCAAGTTCAAGTAACGGCACGCATCAGTCGCAAAGATCGTGATTTCTTGCTTAGAACTTAAATGCGGTGGGAATAAATCGCCGGTGCTGCCATTAACGGTGCCACATGGTGCATCATAAAAGTCAGTCTCATTCTTCATATTCCAATGTGTCAAGCGACCCAAATTAGCCATATCATCGACACCAGTATGTATTGTGAATAGACCGTCATATTCGGCCGAACCATTGCGGTCAACTAACCAACCAAAGCGAGTGTATGGTATCTTTATTTTTGTTGTATTGAAAAGGTTTAAAAAATCGATAAGCCTATCCTTGTATCCTTCAAAGATCCACTCGCGCACTGTTTTTGTTGTGTACAGCTCGCCGCCCTCATGATTCAGCATGAAATTAACCGCTTTTTTGATCATTTTGTTTCTATGTCTCATCTGATCAGCAACAGTCTACAACAAAGAAACACAATTTACCTAGATCCRCGATGACCAATTGGCTTTCCTTCCACTTACCGCTGTAATCACATGAGCAGCTGTTACCATGTCATCCAAAGAACCACTAGATCGCTGCTCATCGAAAAACCAGGTTCGCTTTTGAAAGTATGACACTGTATTGTTTTCGAAAAACGTAATATTTTGCTTCAAGTGCTTCTCAAGAAAAACATATGGTCCCATTTCCACAAAATGCGGTTTGACATTCGGGTTTCTTATCTCGTCAGGATTACTCCAGTTAAACAGATGAAATTCCAAATAAATTGGAATGGGTGCTTCCACCCAATTATTATAGCCTTCTGTACCAGCTTTAATTACCAAATTCTGAAAGTATTTCAAAACATRAAATATATTAATTTGTGATGTTCTCTTATATCTTTTAAAACGCATACTAACTTTTTTCATAATATTATCTGCGATGCCGTTCCAAAATATAAGCAGAGCGATGCCGATAGCGGTGAAGAAAGTGCCAAAGCCAAAAACCCATCCTTTTCGCTGAGTGACGCTACAAGCTTCACAACACATTTTATTTTTTAATTTTTTCTTTAAACTATCCCAGACTTAAAAAAAATTTCTTCACAAGCAGTAGATTATTTTGGTTAAGCGAAGAGAAAAATTCAGAGTGCGTCCACTCAGCTCTGGCTCTTACTGGAAAAAAGTTATAGGACATTTTAATAAAGCTAAATTCTTTTTTTAAGACCATTATAGAACCCTTAATCAGAATTTTTACTACAGAATATTATGAAAACGGTGCGAGTTCTGTTGGTTTGTAATAAAATAAATCCGATAAAAAATTATCGCAATAATAACAAAAAGTTAACAGAGATAACAGAGCTAACTGTTGTTTAGTTACTTTGTAACAGAGCTAACTTTTTGATGTTATCGGCGCGTGAGGTTTTGATATTTTTTAAAATTAATAAAACTTCTAATTATGAAACAGTTATGAGATCAATGCAGCGGGGCAAAATTTGAGATTAACAATTTAATAAGATTTGTGGGTACTCTTCCATGCCAAAAGTGTGCCCAAAGGTCTCCTCAAATACTAAATGAATAAAAATGCATTCGCATACACAACATCATAAATCAATAGGTTAAGTGTGGTATATAAATATTGTGGCAAGTAAATTATGATTTTTGTCTTATCAACCGCAATTGGCAATTTAAGTAAAACTTTATAGCATATGTACATCCACATATGCAAGTGAATTGGCATATCAAAAGGAACAACCGAATCGAAAAATATGATTATCCCATGGATATAACAGTGTGCAAGTGAGGATAAGTGCTTGTTTAACGAGTGATCTCAATGGAGTTTCAATAATTTTATTATGGGTAAACGAAACACATTTTTTARTTGTGAAGCAACTAAAGAGCGATAAGCCATTTGAGAAGTTGCAAACAAAGCCATTACGATTGGCATTCCACACAAAATAAATAACAGAAAATATGAACTTTAATCGAATGTATTCACGCACACACACACACTCTCTAAGTTCATGCATTCTTACGTCCAATCACTAATTATCATTGTGTTCACAAATACACATATACGTAATGTGAATATACTCGTAGTTGTGTATTATAGTACATTGTGACGAAAAAGTACCCGGAAATTGCGAATAAAACGCAAATTGTTTAATATTCATCAATATTTATTTTACCGTCTTCAAAGTAATTCCCACCAGTACATTATACTGATGCCAACAATTTTTAGTCCTGGAAACACTTTTCATAAGCACTTTTTAGGATGGCCTTCAGCTCCTTCAACGAATTTTGTTTTATCTCTCGATCGACTGTAAACGGGTTCCATGGAGCGGCATTTTCAGTTTGAGGAATAGGAAAAACTAACTCAGTGCCAAGTCTGGTGAATGCGGTGATTGATCGGTGGATGAATACCATAGCGTTTTTAGACCAAGGAGACCTGTTTATGGTACTATTATTGAACCAAAAAGAACAGATTTATCGGAACGAGTCGAGCAAGAATGTGTTTCATACCCAAAATATTCATAAAAATCATTTGTACGAACTCGCCGGAGATGTCGAGYYCTCTTGCCATCTTTCTAACAATCGCCTGACGATTTTCACGCACTATATCCTTCACTTCTTTATTACTTTCATCAGTTGAAGAGATCGAAGGGTGTCCAGAATKAGGAATGTCTTCAACCATCTCTCGATCGTTTTTGAAGGCGTTTAAGCCCAGGTAGACTCTTTTTTGATAAAACTGAAGCTTTTTCAACATTCGCAATGATTCCGCACACGCAATTTAACAATCGCAACGCACTACTGAGGTGTACCGTACCGACTTAAGCAGCTGTTGTAAACAAACTGGTTGTCAGATCGCGCTCATATATAGTAATTAAAGACAGTCCTACCAACTTAGCAAAATACATTTATTTATTTACAACTTCTTGGTGCTTGTTTCCCTTAATGTATACTTTGGTAACTAATCTAGAGACGACATAGTGTAAATTGAACTGCAAAAATGTTAGATGGTCAACGGAGGACACAAAAGAAGTGGCGTCCGTCCGCTACGTCAGGCACAGAACAACCGCGCGTCTCTTATTTTCAAAAGAATTGGTTCATTTTACTAGATGGAAGCACCGAAAACATTTCGATACTAATCCATGTCAGAAAACTATTTTATAGCAACCACGCTTTAAAAATAAATATTTACTAAATCTTATATCTCAATAGAAAAACCGCACTGAATGAGAATCTTTTATACTATACTCTATAGAACGAGTTAGTTAATTTTTAAGTAGTTACCCGGTTGCACAGTCATCTATTTATATACATACTATATAAAGTGTAGGATTAGGAAAAGTTTTTCCCCAAGCGCGTTAGTTCAACGAAACAACAATGATTTAACTGAGAMATTACAAAGTCCAAATTTAATTGAAAGAAGAGTAAGAAAATCAAAACYTGTCGCCTTGGTGGTCAGAAGTAGACTATTATTTTATTAATCTTAAGCTAATATTAAATTTGCGATGGAGTCACACAAAAGGAGTGACAAAAACTCTCGCTGTTAAATATGTTGTTGCTAACATATGCAGACATGCATACGTGTGTATATACAAATGAGTTATGCATGTACAATTTATAATTATGTRAGAGTAACTAAATTTAAAAGAACTTAATAACTTATAGGATGTAACGTTAGGTGATCCAACAAGTTTGTGTAGTCTATTTTGGTATTTACCGATCTACCTAATGAATAAGTGTGTGTATATAGTAAATATACATATGTCGCAAAAATGTACAGTTAATTGGTGGATTGCAACAATACACATTCAAAGCAGATTAAATTGAAAACTAAACTACATTTAACCACTAATCTCTTTTATAAGTGCCTCCCTCGAATCCAATTACATTTAGCAGCTAATCAAAGGCCTGCTGATACGGCGTTATCGCTAATTCTAAATAACTTCAAACTGTATTCAACGAGAACGCATTGGTATGAACAATTGGTATGCTATTTTAGATAGAATTGAATTCGATATAATAAAACTGCAGATATTTTTTAAACTTTGAATGTCTTATTGGTGGAATTTAATTAATACGATGCAAGCATAAATATGTACATATGTACATATATTCTATGTGTTGTTATACCATGAACAGGGTATATTAAGTTTGTCACGAWGTTTGTAACCCCAAGAAGGAAGGGTCGGATATACTCTATAAAGTATATACACATATATATGTAAATGATCAGTATGTCGTTCTGAATCGATTTAGCCATGTCCGTCTGTCTGTATATATACGAACTAGTCCCTCAGTTTTTAAGATATCGTTTTGAAATTTTGCAAACGTCATTTTCTCTTCAAGAAGCTGCTCATTTGTCGGAACTGCCGATATCGGACCACTATATCATATAGCTGCCATAAAAACTGAACGATCGGAATCAAGTTCTTGTATGGAAAACTTGGCATGGATTACTACTTAAGGTAATATAATCTCCAAAAAAAAATTGTTCAAAACGGATTACTATAGCATATAGCTTCCATACAAACTGAACACATAGTTAGTAACATAAATGCACCTGTGAAGGGTATTTAGCTTCGGTGCAACCGAAGTTAACGTTTTTTCTTGTTTTCTTTTGATGCTAGTCATACACGTTTCAAGTATACAAGTATATATATTTATGTAGATACAAAGTTTAGTATCGGTTATTGTGCAAAACAAAATTAGTCAGATTGGACCATTATAGCAGCATATATAGTGAATGAATGAAAAAACGAAAATTCCTATATTAAAAGTATGGAAATATAAAAACAAAATAGCGACCCCTTAGAGTTAAGCTACCGCGCCTGGCTTGAGGGAGGATTTTTTGTTTGTCAATCACTAACATTTGAGGGGGTAAGAGTTGAAAAAAAATTAAAAAAAAAATTTGTTTGAAGCACCCTAATACTTACATTCATTGTTTTGTCGGTTTATATGAAGTGGGATATAAGATATACACATATGGTTAAAATGAAAGTACATTCCTTTAGGCTGCAGTCATGATGGAATTTTAAATGTTTGATGAAGTACACGAATGCAACTATGGGTTGATTTTATTAAATTCAATATGGCCGTACTTTTTACAGTGAAAAGGAAATACTGAACCCACTGTTTGTAATGGGCGTGGCAATTGATTGTTGATGTTCGTGTTTCTAAGTAAATTGTTAATTATTTTAAGATTTTCATCAAATCGGAGGATTTATTGTAATGGTTTGCCCCTCAGGTTGTATAGCTCCATGTTTAACACTCATTAAAAACTAAAAAAATTATTGATTGGTAGATAAAAGCATTGCAGGACGAAGGAAAAGTACAACGTCTTAAATCTCATAAAAGAGGGCCAAAGACTTAGGAATATCGCTAAAACCTTAGGCCGTTCATTGTATTTCGTGCAGAATGCCCTAAGTATATTAAAAGAATGCTGAAACTCGCCGTCGACCCAAAAATACATCAACAACAACGGACAACCGTATCGTCACTCTTGGTAAAAATTACCCATTGATATCTTCAAGGATAATATTAGCCGATATTGGTAGCATAATATCTTTCCTAATGGCCCTACGAAGGTTGCATCGAGCTAATTTACCTTTAATTGAAGATAAGATTACAATTCGCAAAAAATAATGCAAATTGGTCCGGGCTAAGTGGTGAGAAAAAGTGGGCGCAATATCTTGTTGAGCGACGAAAGAAAAATTAATTTGTTGCGAAATGATGCCTGACGGAATGTTAGTCRTCCGAAAGGCAAAGAATTGTATTCAAAGTCTACAAAAAACAGTGACGGATCCTAATCAAACCTCGATGTTGGTAAAAGATTGGTTCCAGGACAATGGTGGGTGTTCTTTTAAATGGCCAATTCAATCTCCCGACTAAATCAACAGTTTGGGAACCATCGTTCCAAAATAAGGATCCGTTAGAGAATTTTGTTGAAAAACCTGGTATGAGATTACAATTGATACGCGCCGAAACTTATCTCCAGTATGCCAAAACGAATCTAAAAAGGAATTGAAAATWTTGGCAGATATACTAGGTACTGATGAAAGAAGTAAATAAAAGTCAAATAGGAGACAGAAAACTCAAACTAATRCATATTTTCATTCACAGATACGTGATGTACTTATTATTTTGTCTAGCAATTTTCTTAGTCTTTTTATTACTTGCAAGAAATTTATGTTTCTATTTCAACTATTATCAAACATTAATATTAACAAATATCTTTATATTATTTAAGTCATATATGAAATGAAATATGATATTACTTCACTTTAAACATGAATAAAGGAAAATATATTATTCATTGAATGCTACCCTGGCGTATGTACTTATTATTTTGACCATATGTGTACATATGTATGTAGGTACATATGCATATTTATATAAATTTGTTATTCTTTTTTGAGGAATAACGGTATTATAAAATTTACAGTTTACTAACTGTATGTGCAGATATCATTGCATACTTTTGAATGTTGAGGAGGAGGTTCGATTTGACACTCCTCGGCCAGATATAAAAAAGTCTGTTCTGTCATTGTACCGTGATCCTTGTAGTAGTTTCAACTACAAATTTAATTATCGCTTTTTATATGGATGTATATATGCAAATGTATGTGGTATTAAAATTATTTAACAACGCCATACTTATAACGATTAGTCATGAAGGGAAAAAGCTAGAACATATACATACTAACACACATACCATTTATTACATTTTGAGGACAAATACATACATATATATATGAACCTAAATAACAACTGCTGTGAAATTCCAATACATAATACATTATTGACAAGAAAACTGCGATATAATTAACTCAAAAGAAATTATAAATAATTTTTAACATTACCAGCAGTTAAATATGACTAATAAGATGAACTTACGTACATTRCTCTAATCTAAAGCTATACTATATCAGAAGGTTTTTAAATAATGTCGACTCCACTGTATTTTCACTGTTTCTACATACACTTTACTTTATCATGGCTAAAAGAATATATTTGACCTCAAATAGTAACTTGGCCATTACCTGCAATACTCAGCTATTGTTGCAGCCTAGGTATTGCGGATAAGTTCACTCATACATACATGCATATGTCCCACAATATTTCAATTATAATATTATATATGYATATGGTACCTACATTATTAGGTAAACAATCAGGATTTGCAATTTGTTATCTATTAATTCTCATTGTTATATGTGATGACAACTGCTTCAACAATTCTTATTTTTATCCCATACTACACTTATTAAACAAATTATTGCTCGGTTCTCAATGATAGATCGTAGAATGAACACTAATATTTCTTAAACCTTCATAAATAAGCCCACTTCGCGGAAAACTAGCAAACACAATCTAAACGRCTAACAACAAAAATAAACCATTCACCATGGTGAAACTGATTCGTAAGCAATACGAAAAGGTCTCCACTAAAAGATTTTTAGTATATTCTCATATTGACAATTTATTTCTATTAAAAATAAATATGCTTAGGCGTATGCCGGTTTTAACTATAAGATAAGAATTAATTATATGTATATGTCTTGTCACGGTTAACGCAAATCTAGTTTTATTTTTTACTGATGTATTTGTTTATTGTTTTTGTAATCGATGAAGAATTTCAGCCAATATCGTGAATAGTATATTTTTGTCAATTATTTAATTTACRATATTAAATTCGATACTGGTAGCATCTCTACGTTTTTGACAGCAGAGCTGTAACCAATCAGCGCTAACCACGAACACGCACACTAAAGTATTGTTAGTGTATCAATATAATTCGCACATTTGCCAGCAAAGTTCGAAGATAAGAATTAAATCAAATCTTATAAATTATGAAAATAAGTAACTACATTAAATAAGTGAGTACGTGAAATTTTAACGATGAGAACTTTAGCCTTTATCTTGGTGGTGCAAATTGCATTGTGCCTGTTAAGTGTCGCCTTTGCGGGTCGAGATTTCTACAAAATTCTTAATGTAAAAAAGTCGGCCTCAACAAATGAAATTAAAAAAGCATACAGAAAACTTGCAAAAGAACTGCATCCAGACAAAAACAAGGATGATCCGTCCGCTTCTGAGAAATTTCAAGATTTGGGTGCGGCGTATGAAGTACTATCCGATCCGGACAAAAGAAAAACATATGATCGATGTGGCGAGGAATGTCTTAAAAAAGATGGAATGATGGATCATGGAGCAGATCCTTTCGCCAGTTTCTTTGGTGATTTTGGTTTTCACTTTGGTAACGGCGATCCACATGAACATCAAACAGCTCGCGGAGCCAATATTGTAATGAACTTATATGTGACTTTGGAAGAGTTGTATTCTGGCAACTTTGTAGAAATTGTTCGAAACAAGCCGGTGCTAAAACCGGCTACCGGTACACGTAAGTGTAACTGCCGTCAAGAAATGGTAACTCGTAATTTGGGTCCCGGCCGTTTCCAAATGATACAGCAAACGGTATGTGATGAATGTCCAAACGTTAAACTTGTCAATGAGGAGCGTACATTAGAAGTTGAAGTTGAAGCAGGTATGGTAGATGGGCAAGAAACACGTTTTGTTGCCGAAGGTGAGCCCCACTTGGATGGAGAGCCCGGTGATCTTATAATTAAAATTATGCAAACTCCGCATAAGAGTTTCCAAAGAAAAGGTGATGATTTGTACACAAACGTTACAATAAGTTTACAGGTAGGTTCGCAATTATATTGACACATACATTCAGATGATTTATAATAAATGTCTCTCTAATTAAGGATGCGCTTATTGGATTTACTATGAACATCACCCATTTAGATGGACATGCTGTGAGCATTACTCGAGAAAAAATAACGTGGCCAGGTGCACGGATTCGTAAGAAGGGTGAAGGTATGCCAAATTATGAAAATAATAATTTACAAGGCAATCTTTACATTACATTCGATGTGGAGTTTCCAAAAAAAGAGTTGACCGATGCCGAAAAAGAAGGTAGGTGTTTTAGAAATAAAATTTCCTCTAAATTAAAGGGCGTATAATAATAAAATTTTGTACGTCTGCCTAATATACATATGTATATACATAAATTCTTATTTCAGATCTTAAAAAAATACTTGATCAGGCGTCCATTAACAGGGTGTACAACGGGCTGTGAAATTAATTCACTGATAATTTTTAGTTATTTAAAGAATTTCTTATCTAAAATTTTTTTAGACAAGTGAACTAGTAATATTTAAATTGTAACATATATTTTGAACTTTAAAATTAAGTTATTTTTTAACGTCGGATTAAATAGATTCAATTGAAATAATGAAATTAAATTTTAAGTTATTACAAAATACCAAATGATGCTACATACATGCGACGAAATATAACATTTTTGTTTAAATGGTTGTTTTAGTAATTTAAACGGTAAGTAAAAGAAAATGCAATCTTTCATATATAAATTTTCTCAACATACTTGTACGTATGCTCCTAAATGTATGCTTTCGGTAGTAGTAAATAATATAACAAAATTTATCTGAAAAATTAATTTACAAGATAACTCGGTGTATACATATCTACGTATTAACGTCAACATTAAATGCAACACGGTTTCCGGGAGAAAAGAAACAAAGTCCAGGATAGGGGAGATTTTGTAATGTTAGCATCACTGTCGCCAACAAGGAATACCTATACACTTACAGGGTAAACGAAAAGGATAATCGAATTTCGAACAATCAGTATCATCTAGAACATGAAAGCAGGTCTTGTGGTGCAATCGCGTTGTGACTTAATGTAACCGAGGAAAATGTTAGACATATTTATTTAAGTGCGATTTTATTTTTAAAATGGTTCATTAGTGGAGTGAGTTATATTACATTTAAAAACTTTCCAAAATTACTTAAAATTGTTTTTTTGCAATATGTAGCTGAACGGTTTACCCATACCGTTAGTTGAAAAACTTCAACCATTTTATATTTTCTGCCAAATTTGTGAAGTAATTCTTATGAATGTCGCGTAAATATTTTAATATAGAGGTAAGTGATATACATACATATGTATATGAATCAATATATAGAGTATTTACATATATACATACGTAAATATGGAAAATTTAAATTATAGCATCTCAAACTGTGAGACAATAAAATAGACATACATATATTCACATTTTCCTCTACATTTTCACACTACAGTAATCCTTGTTATTAGTTTATTATTTTTAGCAGCGGCGCCCTCCACCATGCTATCGATTTTCTCTTGTTTTTCAACCGTCAGTGACCTAAAAATTACTGACAACCGGCTCAGCATTATCATTTGTACATATGTATATGTCAAAAACTGAGAAATATTAAAATTAAATTCAATCTTTCAGCTTAGTTATAGTTAGTTGTATTAAACTAGGGACTAATTGCTAATTCACACTTTTCTTGCAGATAACTTTAATTTATTTTTTACTGCTTATACCATGGCCTCAAACACAAATAATAAAGTTGCTTTGCTCCAAAGATAGCAGTCGCTTAGTACGCAAAATAGTGCGTTCGAAGTGGACACCCATATTGGATAAATATTCGGTGAGTACATTTGGTAAACAATATGAACACGTTTGCTGAAATTATCTACTTTTAGGCGAAATTACCATTAGAATGTCCGTTACATCCGCTACGTGATGTTTTTGCTCCATGCCAAGATGCCAAAAAACGAGACCGACCAACCCAGTGGACATGCCGCCTATGTGGTAAAAGCTTCTATCAAGAAAGATTTTTGGACTTACACTTTGAGACGCGTCACAAAAGTATAATTAATGAGGTTCGAAAACAGCTTGAGCCTTTATACATATGAACATTGTTGTTTACATAATTACATTCCTATAATTAGGCCGAGGATGCCGTCTGTTTGGCGGATTTTTGTGATATAATGCGATGCGAGGTGTTCCAAACAGAGGAGTCATCCAGCTTGACCACCAGCGACCAGCATGTCGTCACCGATATTGAAGTTTGGGGCGATTCTCTGGGTCAAAATTCGGCATTAGCTAAAGCGAATACGCCATATTTGAGTTTAATACCACTAAGGTAAAAAGAATAAATCGTTTTCAAAATTATGAGTTTGAAAGTTTTATTTTTAACTCGTAGGACTTCATCTATAGGCGGTACACGAGCGTCTAAAGTACAAAGCCGTCAATTATGTCAAGACAAAATTGGTCAGAATAAATTTAAGGACACGGGTAAGTTATAGTGCATACATATGTATATGTATGTAGATCCTACTGTCAATTGGTAACCCATCCGAAATCCCTATCAAACTTCCTGTCCAAAAAATATAGTCGAAAATATAATTATTGCTGAAAAGAGCAAGAAGACGACCACCATCATTGCCAATGAACCAATAAAAAATATGAAAATGGGACATGCTGACGGTGAACATTCAACAGGAAGTTCCACAACTGCGGATCACAACAAGGCTGCCAATACACAACCGCCACCACACCCTCGAAGTCAGAAAGCCAAAAAGAAAGGATCAAAGGTACAAGATCACAATGAGGCGGATGAGGGAAGTCCAAATCAACCTGACAATAGCAACTCGCCCAAAAACGAGAATGGAAACATACAGAAGACACGCCCCAGTTGCAGGGCCGAGGAACTTAGCAAACTGAAATTGCAATGCGAGCTTTTAGTTCGCAGTTGCATCTCTGGCCTTCTTTTGACTATGACGGATCAGATGTTTAAAGAAATGGAAGGTTGTCTAAATTATTTATTAATCTAGAGTGCATGATATAATATAATATAATATCTATTTCAGAGGAAATGAATAGAGCCGTTTGTTGGTATTTATCATGCGAACGCTATTGGGAGGACGGTCCGCTTGARTCTCGCACATTTCCCTGGGGGTTGACGTTAATACTCATCTTCGTTTTATCGACTGGAGTATGCTTTTGCTACTACATTATTTGGATATTATTTGAGTAAGTAATTAATGCGTCTGCTCAAATCACCGACGACAAGTGATGTAATTTTAAGTCAAGCAACACACTGTCTTTGAATGCTTTGTGATTAAGCAAAAGTTGTCTATTTCAGTTCCGAAGAGACGACAATCAATACAAATCAACACGATTACATGTACCAACGGTATCAGCAATCAGGCGCAATAAAACACCCGCACCAACAGCAGCAGCAGCAGAACCAGGCAATGACCTCTACCGGTATGTACAGTGGAATGCGTCAGAACGTGGCTCAGCCATACTATTACCAACAGTCGGTCCACGAATTATACCCCGAACCACTTCAATACGATTATCGCCACAGTCCAAGACGATACAGAACCGAGTCCCATACACAAAGCACTTCAACGGTGGCCGACATGGCTGGAACACCACACCATCGACATGCACCGACGCAGAGTCACGTTTACCAACAGGACATTTTAGACCGACGCGACTATACAAGTAGACCCATTGCCACAACAGCGGTCACAACTGTAGGTGGCAAGACGATGAACAGTTCCGGCGGTGCACCAAAGTCCGCGAGCACCGCAGGTCTGCAGACATCCGGTGTCACAGCGTTGGATAGCGAATCGAGCATGGGTGTGGCTGCTGGAGGAGGACGGCATTACAATACCCACCCACGGCCCCTAACCTCTCACCATCGGAATAGCGGCGCCTCTCAGCATTCACTACGCGCTTCATCATCTATTCAAGAATTTATGCAGAATGACATAGGCCAAAATGAGCATTACATCTATGTTACGTATCCGCCAGATCTAAAAAAACGTTATTTTGATAAATACGAATAAATACTGGAACGTATATGCCGCTGATCGCCATTATTTATTGGCTTCGGAGAGATCGGGCGCACTTGGCAGATGCATAATGGCAGTACAGTAATGAATTGAAATAAGATATAAATTAATACACTCACATACATAAACGCCATCGCATCGATATATATATATATATTATGTAAATGCTCGAAACTCTCTCGGGGCTTGAAAGCATACTCAAAGCATCGAAATGTCATAATTATTCATTAATGAAGTAAAGATTTCTAAATAAATTTCCAAAAACAAAACCAACAAATAAGAATTGTGTATGCATACTGACTACATGTAGAGAATGCGGCTTACATTTTGAGGTGTCATSATTTTATGACCAACCACGACCCAACTTCAACTTCCTAACCTCAGAGGAGAATCAAGAAACTCGTAGTTTGAATCAGTATCTTCCTAAAACCATCGATTAGAACCATTTCAGTTTTCGATTGTTGCGTTAGCAACATRTACATACATATTATTTTATGTTATTATTTTATTGTTTTAGGTCAATTTATACGAAGATATTAGTTGTTTTTCATATGTTTTACTATATTGTAAATACTTAGTTCCACTCATGTCACAGTTATTGTAAAATACGTACATGAAAATTATAATAATTTATACATTAATTAGAAGAATATCGAGATTTTATAAACCAATTCTTTAACTACTTAACGGTAAAGATATGCTTATAATTTTCTAATTTTCGTTCGGCATTTATGAATTCGTATCCTTAAATTGTTAATAAACTTAAGTACGTCGAGTGTATTAAGGTACTCTCTTAAACGAAAAGAACACGCCAAATGGGGCGGTTCTATGTTTTTACATGACCGCCATGACATTGCCCCCGAAGTATCCCGGCTCGACGAAYCTTTCATAGTTCTGAAAATAAAAATAAAATAAACTCCAACGTAACAATTGAAAAACAGCAAATCAAAAACGGAAAAATAAATAAAATAAAGAAGTCTAACGTAACTAATGAAATTATTTAAAAATAAACTTTTGTTAAGTTTTGTCACATCAAAAGTATTTGAATTTACATACATATACATATACAATTCAAGTCATATATATTTATTTTTTTTTATATGTTTTTACTTATTTTTATAAAAATATAATTAGTTTTGAATCTAGTTCTGATAACTTTTTTTATATGGTTTCTACGCATTACAAACGATTTAGGAAACTGAACACAAATTTGTTTGTGTATCTCTTCTTTCTAACTTAGTTGAGTTCATCTGATAATTATTAGGATCTTCATTCATCATGCATTGGCTATCACCTTCCATTTAGGAGATCTATCTCACCTTAGATTCTTCAAAATCCGATTCGTCGTCGCTGCTTTCATATTCGCTTTCCGGCGGTGATAACGGTTCTGCGCCATATTTTTCTAAACTGCTTTGCATTTGTGACCTCTTCAGAATGCATGTTAGTTGATATGCTGTCAGCCTTCCGAAAGTGGTTGTTTCCAAGTTCGGCTTACAATCATCCAGGAGGAAATTGAATAACTCCTCATTACCCTTTTCAATGGAAATATGTAGAGGTGTGTATCCACCTTTTCCTTCCTGCAAACAATTAATTACAAATATTAGAACTTATGGTTCCATATGGAAATATAAAAGTGAAAGTCTGAAAGTGTGTTATAAAAGTCTTACTCTGGCATTGATATCCGCTCCAGACTGTACTAAAGTTTTTAATATTTGTAAATGGCCTCCTTCGGCAGCCAAATGAACACAATATTCGCCTAAAAGCAACAAAAGATATATATTCAATATTTAATATACTATAAAACAACAGCGATGCAAATCAAATAAAGTTCGAAATATTTCCACATTATCCGTTATAGACATTTTATTTCTATACTTTCACAACATGTTGCACAACAGTTGTTGTAACACCTAAAACTAATTAAAACTAATCGATTTTGATAAAAAAAAAATAAAAAAAATAGGTAAATGATCAGAAGGATGAGACGAGTTGAATTCCGAGTGGCTGCCCGTCCGTCCGTTCGTGCAGCGATAAATTTAGTACACGTATACGATGGCAGCCTAAGGAGGTCGGTACTGCAGATGGGAAGAATGGGATCCCCCCCCCCTTACAAAATACCGTTAAGCAAAAAGCTACAAAGAGCAATAACTAATATCTTATATATATAAAAAAATTTCGATTGATTTTAAAAATATATCGGTCATATGTACGTACATATGTATGTAAGATATCTAAGTGAACATAAAATATTGGACATACTGAAGTTTAATTCCGAAAGCGTGAAATCGGTTTACGAATTTGTCCGATATTCATATATTGCAAATAATGGTTTTCGTTATTCTAGCAAATTTTAAACCGAATATAGCAGTCAATGTGCGAGTTTTCTTCACAATACAATTATTATGTATGTATATGTTATACACTATGTAGTTTTATATATATGTGTACACATACATAATATGTATATTATATGTATGCGTATGTAGACCTTTGGTCACGGGCTTTTCGATCCAAAAAACATCATACTTAGTTTATGAATGAATGTTTTGAGATTAGTAACCTCATTTTATTAAACCGTTGAAACTGTAAGTGTGAGTGCAGACGTTAGAATCATTTGTTGTACGTTAAAGGCAACTGAGTCGGCCAAAGTTCGAGTCCCGGCAACAAAATTCCTCGTGTCTGAACAAAGTAACAAATTAAGCACTCAGCTCAGAACTAAGTACGCAGTTCGGGCTTTAAGCTCTCATTTTGACGATGAAATAATCTAAACAAAATGCCAACGGTATTTAAAGCCAGAAACGAGTATTTCATATGTACATTCATAAATAAAATTTACTACACATATGTATGTTTGTATGTGAATGCAGAAGGTATACGACGGCACTGAGACTTCTCAACATTTTGAACTAACCCACACACTAAACACATATATACCTACATATATATATATATATTCATATAAACATGATAGCAGTGAACCATGGCAATCGAACGATGACGCCGAACAAACGTGCCCGTGCACTTATGGGCCGCTTATGTGTGCGTTCAGAAAAAACCCGAGAAATTCCCATAATAAAGTACACAAGCAAGCAACAATACTTTTGCATACAGAAATGTGAGTTAAGTTCGTAAAAGCTAAAATTAACAAAGCCAAAAACAAAACAATAATGCTAACAATCGTTATATGACAACGATACGAACCTAGTAGGAATCCGAATGAGTACGGTAGTTTGAAGTGTTGGTCCTCAAGGCAGTTTTCTACTGGGCATATGGTAGCTGAATTGATCTAGTATAAAAAAAGCTGTCAAAAGCACTAGAATAATGCACAAAGTACACACATACATATGTATATAATGGACAAGATCAACAGGCATTGGTAAGCTCGGAAATTACTTTTCAGCGATTAGACCATAACTAACATTCTTACCAATCAATTTCTTCCTACAAACTCCAAGTGATTGAAAGAAAAAATCAAAAACAAATCTTATATTGCTTTGAATACGTAAATGCATATGCATTTATGTATGTATGTATGTAAATACCTCTCCTTATCCTACAGTATCGCCTACTAGTTTCGAGAAATATGCGGTTTTCGTATAATTTAGAATTACAATATTGATAATAGTWTATTTATATGTTTGTATGTGTACCATTTAGTCAAAATTGTAWTATTGCCATAAATATTACTCATCAAAAACATTTGAATGGTATTGATGTAGATTCATGTGAATCGTCGAAGCATGTCGGGAAACTGAAGTTCAAGTAAATCTCCGAGAAACTGAATGGACTGTGAATTACCAACCACAAACGCACTTATAATAAACAGAAACAATTTTGCATTGAAGATAAGACATACGAGTGAGTAAACTGTCACCGCCAAGTTTTAGATCTTTTTGAATTCCCCAATACGTAACATACGCATGAATATACACTTGTATGTACTCTTACACAAGTGTGTACATACAAGTGGGGTTTCCAATGAAATAACATTTTTCCAATGGCCCCTACAATCTTGATAAGAATTAGTTAACAACAAGAAGCATGAAGCTTTACTCATTCGGAAAACAATTTCAATATACATAAGTATGTAAACATAAACATTTCTGTTAGTTATTTGCCATAAATCATAGTTAACTTTATTAACTAGTATGAGGTTCCGACTAGTTGTAAGGCAGTTAAGAACTCGTTAATTTCTGCAGGGTATTTAAGATAGCGCGAAGGAAGTACAAAAGCATTTGGCACTTAACAATGTAACTCTATTCGCACGGTGAATTGGTGACTGCTTTCAGTTATGTGACGATTGTAGCGAAACTGTAATAAAAACATAAACGCTTGCGCAAAGCAGGTGAAATAACAGAAAACCCCAGCGACAACTTTCAACGAAATGCCGCTATAAAAAACGACAAAATAAGACAAGACGAAGATACCGATAATGGTCGAAAGCAATCTGAGAAAGTAACACGTGCACCAATAAAACAGTTAAATGATATCAAGCGAAAAATTACTTTGATTTCTTGCAGAGAGTTYCAGAGATTTAGCATAAAAATGGAAATATTCTATAACACCTAAACCTGCTCGAAATTCACAGTCTAGTAACTACASTAGTTACTTAGATCCTATCTAAGAAGTTTACTTCCGCAGCCAATGYCAGATTTGAAGTTTGAAATAAACGTTAAACGATAAAAAAAAGAAACGATTCCGTTATACTCTRAAAATTGTTTAATGTCAATTTTTCATAAACCCTCATTGCTGAATTGATTACAGCCTCCATAGCTGGCATTTTGCACGATTGGTATAAACAGATAGAGTAAAACCTGTTCGTGACACCCAAATGATGTGAAACGCCACTGAATAAAAGAGTTTTCGGAGACGCTCTAGCAAGCAGATGGGCGGTGATGTAAACGCTAGTCAGTGGTAAAATAAAAATGCACAGATCAATATGTATTTTGTATACAGTAATTATGTAACCAAAATTCAATAATGCTTTCAGTTATTTATAAGTACTTAGGTATACATACATACGTAATTTAATATATTATATATTCTGTTTTCGTATCTAATCAATGCACATTTTCGCACGATTCACAAGTAATCTTAACAGCAATATTGAAATGCGGTAAAACACGGTTACAAATAAGGCAGCGCTAAGCACGAAAGCATAAAACGATTTATCAGTGGGTATTTTCCAAAATGAACAGAACCAATTTACAAACAGATTTTGTACACAAATCCGTCAGGTTTTATGACAGATGATAACAATAAAACGAGCATTACCAATACGTATATGATAAGTATAACTAACGGATAGGAACTTCGAAAGGCTAATAACCACCTTTTAAAAGACTTTTCTACAAACAAACAGAAATGTTAACTTTATATCCATTTTTGTGGGGTATCCTGTGGTTAAATACCAATACAAAATATATGATTCCGTTATGTGTTTATTTATTATTCACGTAGTATGTACATACAAATGTACATATATGTACATCCAAAGTTTGTTGCTTTTAACGTCAGCTTTCGAAAGTTTAACTTCTTCAGTCTTATTTCAGTTATTTGTTAGTCTCGCTTCRTTTTCGCTGCTCTTCTGTACAATCGGTTTGTTTGGAATTTTGCCCTAATCATGCTGTTGCCATTTGCTTTTGTTATTTGAGGTTGGGGAAAACCCCAAAATACTTTATATTTAGCAGCGTATCAAACGCGACGACTGCAATGAGCTTTGATTTCATTGTGGTCAAAATACTAACCAATGGAGATACATGTGTTCATCATACATAAATATACATAATGTAATGAATGTAGATAAACATGTTAACAGCATTAGACATTCTGTAAATTGGTTTTATGAATGCAATCGCGGAGACATCACTAAGCTGTAATTACATACAAATATACATACGTTCAAACAAAGCTTTGGGTTCTTCCTATGGAGTGCAAAGTTGCAAAGACTGAAAAGCGAAGAAAGTCCGCCCCGAGCACCTTATATAACAGAGAGATTTGCGTAGAAACAAGCATTACCAGACACCTGTTGACTGCCTCAAGTCAAGTAGAAAATGCATATGCACATTGCAAATGAAAATCACTTTCAATATCTTATAAAAAATCAAGTACGTGAATTATTATAGAGAATTCATACAAATAATATCCTCTGGTGTACAAATATTTTCCTTGAAACGTTCACACAATTTTATATTTTGAACATATGTATAATATCTCTGATCTTTGTACATAATGTTACGAATGAGGTAGTTTCTCGAAATATACGAAGAATTTTGTGTGTCAGCCAATTTGACGTCTGTGCAAAGAACACGAAAAAATATACGGACATAAATAAGCACACATAAGAAACACACTTTCGTTCAGCTGACGGCGTTTAAGTCCGTCTGTTTTACTCGCCTTTTACTACATTTGTTCTTCAAAGAAATGACATATGTATAATACAACTACATACATACATATTGCATTATAATTTAAGGTAAATTTATTTAACAGTCAGATTGGGTTTTTTTTTTTAATTTTTTTTTTTCAATACTTATATGGCTAAAATATAATTTTTGTCTATAAAAAAAATTCCGTTTTTTTTTTCAAAAAATATCAATTTGTATTCATATATTGCTTCTAGCGACAATAGAATCCATCATACAATCATACTATAAATGTAAGAAAATATTGTATGTAAGAATATACTTATATACATATGAATGAATATATAGAGCAATGTACCTTGTATCCTCACTGAAGGCATGCGCTATTTATAGCTCCACTTGGCCGATCAATACATTAACGGCATTATTGGTGCAGATATACATACATACATATACACATAAATGTGTATAAGGTAACAGGTTTACCTAAAACAAGCTAATACCTGAGTCAACCAAATATTTAATCCATACACACATATGTACATACGTACAAACATACATAACTTAGTCAGTTTATTTTGGTTTCTCATATCGGAGTTGGCACAATTATTTACAACCTTTGCAAAAACCTTACTATTGAGAGGCGCAAAAATTAAAATTTTCCTTCGGAAAAACTGTTATTGACGTCAGCACTTTCGGCATGCGCCAAAAATCTATCGTGTTCTGAAATGCCCCATTGGACACACGTAGTATATATTAAGAAAATTGTATACGTTAAATGTATGTGCATATCTATGTAAGTATATTCTGAATATACATACATATGTATGTATGTACATATRAACATGAGTATATCATCGCATAGCGAAATGTTACGTCTATAAATAAAAATATCTATGTATGCCGAGAATTTCTTATTTTCGTTACCGTTGGCCGTCTTCGCACTTGTCTAGCCGAGAAACAGAGACAGTCGCCAATTTTTATATTTTTGGAAAGTTTTTTTTTTTGTATCAAGCAAATAGTCGCACTAAAATAATTTGCCTTTCATCCGGAAATATTTATTTGATTTCATTGTACTAATCGACTATATTTAATTATCTTTAGGAATCATATGATAGTCACAAAGACGCTCGAAATTCGAAACGAAAAAAAGTTAAATAAATAACTTACCGTTGTAATTGCGAATTTCTAAACCAGTGGGTAAAGATGCATAACTAAGGGAAGAAACTCGCTTATCATTGGATCTGTAACCATACTGGCGATGAGCTTCATTGATCTCTGAAGCACTAAATGGAACTGTTAAAGCATTCACACATTGTTCATCACCAGACATGCAAGCAATATGTAATGCTGTGTTTCCGTTGTTATCGCGTAAGGTTGGCTGCAAATACAGAATAGAGCCCATATTTACTAAACCATACACTTGATTGACTTGTAATACTGTGAACTTATAGTAACTTTTCTATAGATCAAACATACCTTGGCGCCGGCTAGCAATAGCATGCGCATAATTTTTCTCTGTTTTGTTAGCGCAGCTAGATGTAAGGGAGTTTGTCCATAATCGTTTTTTATGTCCAACAGACAAGGATGTATAGCGAGGCGGAAAAGAGCAGCTACCACATTGTCGTATCCCGATATGCAAGCCAAATGAAGATAGCTGAATAAAAAATATTGTTAAGAATACATGAGTACTAAACAGTGATATTTTATTTAAAAGGTTTAAAAATTTAATTTCCTTTTAACCCAATTGAGTAATAATGACTTAAATTCATAAATACGTATGTATGTAGCATAAACATAATTTAACAAAACTAATCGTTATTGGCAGTGGCCGCGAGAGGGAGACATGGAGAGGGTTATCGGCGAAAATTACTCCCAGACCAGGAGTTGTGGGGTAAACCCAGTGCTCTGAAAGTTTTGCTTACAGATTTTTTCTTCAACAATTGATGGATTAGAGGCTCGCATCCTATATCCCCCCCCCCCCCGTTTTCTTTCAAAGGCCGTGATTATTGGAAGACAAAGCTTGTATAATTTATATTTAGAACTTACGTGTCTCCTTCGTCATTTTGTTGGTAGTATTGTTCCCATGCTGGCAATTTATTGAGTTCAGCCGATGCCTTTGTTGGTTTCGCTTGTTCAGGGTCCACGGTAGAATCTTTGCAAGACGCGCCCAAGTCATTTATTGTACCGTGTTGTAAACTTAGATTAGAAAAGCGTTCGGAAATGTGAGCATCGACATCTTGCTTTGTTTTCATTTTATTATCTTGTGAACTTGTAACTTCAGATGCACTTGTTTGGTTTACTTGTGGTCGCGATCGTGTATTCGGCTGTACTATTGCATGAGGCTCAGTGTCGGCATGTAGATCGTTGGACTCATATTCTTCTTCCTCAATGCAGCCCGAATCAACAATACATAATTCCTTAGCAGCTTTTTCGCAATGTTCGCCAATATTAGCAGAAATCCCATCTCTGTGTACTGATTTACCGATATTGGGATTTTGCGAATTAAAATTGTTACCGATGTTTTCAGCAGAACTTTGTTTAGATTCTTCATGTTCTTGGAAAAAAGAGTTTTGGGGTCCTGAAAGAAATCCCGAATCCGTTCCGGGTGCCAAATCGAAGTCTACATTTCCTAAAAACTCCTTCTTTTGACAACTTTCTTCATCGCTGTTCTTATTTCCACTTTTAAATTCCGCTGTATTTTTATTCGACATTTTATAGTTTTATTTTTATATAATTGGCAATATAAAAATTCACTGAAACTAATTTTAATTGTTATTTACACTTTTAAAAATATTGTTCATTCACAAATGCTTATTTCAAACAGTTTACTTCTTTTAATATCAAGAAAATGCATTGCTTTCGATCAAATAATTCTAAAAATAAGAAATTAAGCTTGAATTAGTGTTATATGTATATTTGATGAAACTTAATTGTGAGCTCTATATTAAAAACATTTTTCCAAACAACATAAATCACTAAATTAACAGTTATAACACAAGTTTTTTTAAAAGCCCTGTAAGTTATAGTGATGTTAAAGATCTTTCTGTAAACAAAAAAATAATGTAACATTCCAATATTATGTCAAGATATAATATTTCTATTAGTCGGAAGTAAAATATCGTTGGGACAAAATAAACATATCTTTAAAAGTTTCACCAATTGTTCGAAAGAATTCGTTTTGGAATAAAAATCGAATTCATTATTTCCCCAACACACAATTTAAAAGGATCACAATGAATAATGATTTAGTCATTAGCAAAGTTTTTAAATAAGATGACTTGGTACTTTGAGTATATTTCACTGATCTTTAAACACTTTAGAATTTCAATATAGGAACTATTCAAATCATGTTTTTATGTTGTTCATATATTTTTGTATATTTGTGTTATTATGTGCGAAATGGTTTTATATACATATGTATGTATATTTGTACAAATTTCGAATTCTTCATATGAACATTTTTTCACTTCTCCAATTCGTTATTAAATGTTTTTATTTTCTATCGACGGCTGTTTTATGCTTACGTACGTTAGAATCACAAATCAGTTTAAGTGTTGCCTTGAATTTATTATTCTTKACTCAAACAAATATACGCTTTCTTTTATGTATTTAATAAGTGTACGTAATGCTTGCGCTTAAATTATTTAATTTTTAACACTCGCTGCCAACCTCACTCTCACAACATATGTGTTGATTATTTCGCTTCCTCGTTAAAACTGGCGAAAATGACAACATTGCCTGTTGCTTGGTCGCCATTTTGATTTAATCTAGTACATAATATCCTCTACTACAAATTGTGAAAAGTTCCGATTAGTATTGCCAGTTCTAACTTTTACATCTGAAGGTTGCTCAAAGTATTGAAATTTTAAATAAAATTATTTATATTAGTATTAAAAAGATTAGTATTCTGTATAGATATATGTGAATGTGAATGCTTTAATTTTTGTTATTCTGTAATGTTTCTTTTGAACAGCTTTGTCTACAAAGTGTAGAAGTTATTTTGAAAGTGATATGTCGAAATTACATGGCATAATTTGATCGGTAAGTACATGAACCTATAAACATTTAATTATTTATTGACACAATCATTGCACAAAGATTTTAAAAATTACCGCAACATATTTACCGCCAAATATTCTTTACGTGAACTTTTGAATTCATACTTATGATCACCTGCTGACATTGCCCTGTTCCAATACATGTCAGTTAATCCTTATAGTCTTCAAAATTAGTCACCGAAGTGGTAAATCAAGCAGTTGTAGCCAGAAAAATGATGAAAAGTTCAAATATATTTGGGATTTAAGATGTGACTCGAGTCAGATAGACGCTTGGCGAAGTTGCGCCCCGTAGTGGTTAGATTCTTGATATTTTTACTAATGATTCAAGCACAAAGACGCCCACCGGATTCGGCAATATTAGACAAAAAGTCTCAAGTCTCGATATATATTATGTAAGCTTCCGTATTACCCAGAACTCAATTGTACTAGGGTTGGGAGGGTAGTATGTCCCTAAACTAATCAATCTATACATGTATTATTAAAACCAATTGACACTAAAATTCAAACCTAGCTTACAGAACCTGTGGCATAAGGGGCAGCTTGAAAAAATATTACTAGATATCACATTTATTTGGCGGAAAAAACAAATAACACCACTGATGATTTGCATGTTTTTTTTTTACTAATAGTTAATAACTTGTACCTACATATCATTAAATAATACCGCAGATGTATTCACAAAATCTCAGATTTAGTTTGCTAAATTAAAAATGTTTCCAGTACTCTCTACCGACCAGTAAATAATGTAAATTGCAGTCGCTTTTCAATTTGTTTACTGTATTTCTTATTTAAATTTAATTTATGTCAGTCATATTATATAATCGATAAATATACGCCCCATAAAACATTTCAAAACTTAAGTACACGTTATAATGTAATAAATATCCAATGTGAGTCGTATTACAGTTATTGCTCCAGTACATTAGTCTTTATTTTTCGTATGTATACATATTTTAATTTTCGACGGTGGTTGCATAAAACACAAATCAGAAAGTGAAGTTGTGAGCATTAACTACTTGACACAAACACATTTATTCAAATGGCTTCAACACTCCTACTAAAACCCGCAATCAAAACGCACTATCCATTGTATTAACAAATTACCTCTCAGTCGACTAGAAAATAACTACATACATATATTGAACGAGTTAAAATCAAATTTTCACTAATATTATTTTTATGATCACATTATGTACATATGTATGTATGAATGTATGCATGTATGAGTGTCTATATATTTTATTTTAATTGCTCTATTAAAACATAGAGCTTTYGAAGGAAAAGAAAAGGCAGCTATTTATTCTTATTCATCGTCACTGCTTTCATCTTCAGTGCTCTCATCTTCATCCGGCAGGGGTTGTTGTTTTGCGCCATGCTTTTCTAAAATAAGTTGCATTTGTGACCTCTTGGAAATACATGCCAATTGATATGCAGTTCGTCGGCCGAAAGTTGTTGCTTCCAAGTTCAGTTTGGGCTTGCAGTAATTTAATAGGAAGTTTAATAGTTCCTCATTGTTCCTTTCGACAGAAATATGTAGTGGTGTGTATCCACCTTTTCCTTCCTGCACAAATTAATAAACATTTATTACAATTTATAATTTCATTAGGTTACAATCGTTTTAAAAGTCTTACCCTGGCATTGATATTTGCTCCAGATTGCACCAATGATCTTAGTATTTGAAGATTACCCCTTTCAGAAGCTAAATGAACACAATATTCGCCTAAAAAAAAAAGACAAAGATAAAATGATACCAGTTTGTCCAGAATAATATGCACGGTCTAAGACATTCATAGATATGTATGTACTATATCATACATAGTATATCAAGTATAATTGTGAAAATTGCTATTTCTATGATAAATAATCTAAGAACATGAAAAATGTTTTGATAAAACATATTACCATTTTTATAAGTACTATATGTTTTGATTTGAAGTATTTCAACACTAATCGCTCACACATACGTATATAATCGAGTACATTGCTGATAGCTCGAATAATGACACCGAACGAATGTACATATTTGCTCGACGACCCATATGTTTGCGATAGAAAAACCCGGCAAATTCCCATAATGTTGTACACAAGAAATCAACAGTGCTTTTGTATATAGGAATGTCGGTTAAGTTAGTCAAAGCGTTAAAATTAACCAAAGCGAACACAAAGCAATATCAGCCATAATGACAACAGTCATCGTCATATAACGGCGATACCATAACTGCTTAGTAAAGAATTCAATGCTGAAAATTTTCACATTGTAGTTCTCATCTCCTGTAGATAATTGCAAAATCTAATGATCCTACAATATATATGCATAGCATGTTCAATGTACATGCGTGAATTATACCATACGTATGGTGTTAGATTTTTAAAAATTATATCTGAAGGCCTGCCAGCGAGTGGGCAGTTTTCTTCTATTATTTAACTGTACAAATTAGGGTTTTTCATAAAATTAAAAAAAAAGTAACAATAAAAAACTTTAAGGCATAATTGTGGAATGTATAGAGTACAAAGCTACTTGTCGAACTTTTTATTAGGAGGTGCAGTTTTTGCTCGCTCAACGATTGCAAATAAAACATGGTTTTACCAGCTATTCACAACGAATGAAAATAAATAAAAGGTTTGTCACTCAACAATGCAGCGACTGTGACGATTGTGGAGAAAACTATTAAAAGGCATACACACTTGCGTATAAAGCAAGTGAAATAACAGAAAACCCCAGTCATGGCTATCCAAATGAAGTGATGACGAGTCGGAGCCGTGTTGAAAAACTAGCGCGTGCGCTTAAAAAAAGCTTAAGCGCAATTGWGTAAATAATTTTTGGCCAATCATCAATGCGCGTTATTCCCGATAAATGTTTCACATGTTCCATGCCTGTCACTCGTTTATATATACATACATATGTTGAATATAGTGTAAATGACACAATGAAATGACACGAGTGCTCGAAAAAGTAAAATGCAGTAAAAAGGAAACGTTTTAATCAAATTTATGTAAAAAGTTGTCTAATTGTCGGTTAACTTACTAAGGCTTCGTACGCTTGGTTTAAATTCGTTAAAACCCGTTCATACCAGCCAATTTCAAATACAACACACTTGCACCAAGCTGACTGAATGACAAATATGTAGATAACCTACCATATGCGAACACAAGTCAGTGGCATCGCAACCACGCATATATCAAACATTTTTAAATTGGGTTTTTTCTTCACACATCATGATGTGGATAAACCAAACCGAACTTGAAATTACTTCATTTTCAATGTAACATCTGAGTATGCAATACAACCAAACCATTGAAGCACCAAACAGCAGATATTATTATAATAAATATTCGGAGAGGAAATTATTACTCTTTAGCGTTTTCCTTTGTCAGATGAACAAGTCTTGTAAACGGAAAATTACGCAAGAGTTTTATATTGAAATTCTTGACCGTGGGACAACCAATGGAGAAGTCATACAAGCAAATATTTTCATTAAAGTCCACGTGTAATTTCCCCAAGCGCGTACATCCATTATCGTATTTCAGTCTTTAAATACATATATGTATGCATATATAGTATTCGTATGTATTTGCAGTTATTTTGTATAAATGCATGCACACATCCAAACACAACTAGACGTACATACAGACATACATGCGCATATATTTTGCTCTGCTTTTGCAGAAACGTTTTGTGCCGATTTTCGTGTTTATCGCATTGTTGTCGTTTGAGTTGTTGTTGGGGAAAACCCCGAAAGATTATACTTAGCAAGATCGTATGGGCGATGACTACAGTGCTTTGGCGAAATACCTGCATAAGCAAAGCCATGAATGCTTGTTTTCATAGCCGATTTTGTACACATCTGTATACTTAAATTCAAATATAACACCCAATATTCTTTTCTTCCTTGGTAAATTTATTTTAAATATACTACAAACATATCTATGTATGTATGTATATTATCATATTATGAACTTTGTCGTCTTTGTAGTCCTACGATTTCTTGTCATTAATTTAATGTACGAGAGATATAAAATGATATGTCTATGTGTATATTCTCAAATCATTTCTCAATTAGAAATATCCTACTATATGTATATATGTATCCATGCTTGCATAGATACAAACCTACGTGCATATCTATWCTTGTTAATTAATTTGCGCAACGTTTTGTGCTGATATTTGCGTACACGTACATTTGAATCTATATATTATAGTGACAGACATGGTGGCTAAAAATAATTTAAAAAAAAAAAAAAACATTTCTGAACGTCTGTATCATTGGCTAGCCGAAAGGCTGGGCATGTTTAGGTGAAGAGTCCAAATATTTAAAATTTGGCAACAAAACTGCTTTATAAATAACAGAAGGAAAATGTGAGTTAAAAAAAAAAAAAAAAAATAACAAATGCAGATGTCTTTAATTTGGCCATCCATTTAAATGAGTGTGAGGAAAAATATCGTTGTAATTATGCGATTAAGAATTCTACTTACCGTCATAATTTCTGATTTCAAAATTGTTGACAAGTTTACTCTGTGCGAATCCGTATTGTTGATATGCAGCATTGACCTCTGGGGCGCTAAATGGTGTTGTTAAAGCAATAACACTTTGTTCATCTCCATTTTCACAAGCAATATGCAATGCCGTATTTCCATCACAATCTCGTATATTCGGCTAGAAATATATATATAAAATGAAGTCTGCTTATTTAGTCAATTAAAAAAATATATTTTTTTTTATAACAGTTGTTTGATCATCATAATTTATTTATGCATTTATTAGTTGCTTTTTACATACCTCGGCGCCAGCAAGTAATAGCATACGCATTATGGTTTTATGGCTGTAAAGTGCTGCCAAGTGCAGTGGGGTTTGTTCATAATCATTTTTTATGTTCAGAAGGCTTTGTTGCATAACCAATGGGATAAGGGCAGCTACTAAATTATCTTGCCCAGATATACATGCCAAATGAAGGTAACTGCAAAGAAAATAATAATAAATATAATTGACCAAAATTAATTACTAGTTTTACTAAACATTTCGAATCATAAAGAATTCTAAGTATAATTTTTTTAAGTATCCAAAAAAATTCTTACGTGTCTCCATCATCATTTTGTTGAAAAATTTGTTCCACTATAGACTGTTTGGACAATCCTAACGATTTATTTGATACTGCTGTCGATTGAAGTCCTGGAATTCTATCAGCAGCATTTAAATTATTTGCAGCTCCACTTTCTAAACTTAGGTTGCAAAATCTTTCCGATATGTGACTATCTACATCATGTTTGAGTCTCATTTCTTCACTTAAATTCGAATTCTTGGTTGCAGCGTTTGCCGACTGTGGTTTGCTATGCAGTTTTTGTTTGGTAGTTAAGTGGCGGTCGGATTTGGTATCTGAATCGTTGAACTCTTCGTATTCTTCTTCTATGCAACCCGAATCAATAACAAATATATTCTCTTGAATTTTATCGTGGGGTTGGGAAATTCCAGTAATGTTTTTAACGTGATGTTCTGTTGTAATAATATTTGATTTTGATTTGTTGAAGTCGTTTGCATCGTTTCTATCGGGGCTATATTTTGGTTCCTCCTGCTCTTCTTGAAAAGAGCTTTGAGGACCAGACAAAAATCCCGAATCTATCTGGGATTGATCTTCAATATCAACGTTTTTTGAAAATTCCTTTTTTTCTGGAATGTGTTCCTTATCTGCTTTAGCTGCTAAAATTGATGAACTACTTGTACCACTTCCATCTGTAATATTTGTATTTTCGTTATCACTCGTTATACACTTTACTGCTGGGTTTGACTTCGACATTTTGCAGTGTTTAATAGGTATTTCCCGTATTAAATAATTTCACTTAAATTTATTTATTTTAAAAAATTGTTCTCGTTTATAATCTTGTTATACAATTATGTATATTTTAAGTTGGCCTCGTTACTTTATACATCAAAGAGAAAACTCTTAACTTGTTATCGCATTTATAGCAAAAAAAAACTGTATGTGAGATTAGCAAAAAGCTTTGCTCCGATATAAGTCCTGTTGTAAGTTCTTTCACATTTATATTAAATTGTTTGAGTGATGTGCCGAAACAAAATTCCGTTACAAGTTCTTCTAAGCATATAAACTTCACAACCACACTCACTTATCACATTTACAGGCGATAATGATCTATCATTCTTGATTTACAGGTATATTTTTACTGCGTATAATAAATGTTTGTACAGCCGATGGAAAATATTCGAAATGCACGGAATGTACTTAATATTTCAATTATTTTTGAATTATTATTAAATTGTTAACGCGTCTTCTTCGTCAGCAAAATTGTTTGTGAATGTGCTTTAGCCACTTGAAATTTTAATTATATCACGTCGGGTTTTACCTTTGTACTTCTTTGCGAGTTGTTCAGAAATACCTCATATAAACATATAGTTGCCACCTTTTATCTTAAAAAAAAAACACCAAAAAAGATGTTTTATGACAAAAATGCACACACATTTTTTTATTAAATAACATTTCTTTAAAAGAGCTTGTGCTAAATGCACAAATAGAAAAACTATATATCTATATTGCGAAGTGTTTGTTACTCACTATCTATGAGTTAAAATGACTGTAAAGGAGACTGGGTTTTTTGGGGTTTCAACTTGCAAAACGAATTAATATGGCAACTATGCTTAAACATATCGCACTCACCTATCGCCCRTTTAAAATTGAGACAGCAATAGTACCACGGCGAATTCATGATTTACGGCAGTGTTGCCAATACTCAAACAGGAAATATTTATTATATTAATTTTCCTCATTATAGATATACATTATTTGGTTAAACGCTTAAACAAACCTTTATCGGCAACATGTGGAAAAATGGTTTTCTCGATATCTGGCTCAGGTCTTCACAATGCAAGTTCTGTGAACTGTTTTCCCCACACATTCACAATAATCAATAATCGGTTCAGGTACGGTAACCGCATTTTTTTGAAAACAGTTCTATCGGTCCTTAACACATTGAGAGCGACACGACATGGCAGCACGACGGTGAACTGTACATGGCGTCGTGAATCCTTCTACATGAACATTTGTAAGAAGGCAGCGACATAACAATGGACGGCATGTACACAAGACAACACAGCTGTCCAGTTTGCATGCATTAATTATCAATTGTTATTACAAATGATATAACAGAGCTATTTTATGCTTTTATTTGTAAAATATCGTCACGTTTGTTAGAGCTTTGAATAATTTTGCATATTAGTGGCATCGCTCCTCTCTACTGTCGTCCTACTAACCTTGGCAAATATAAAAATATATTGAAGTTAGCGAGAGCGATAACTGTCGGCCTGCAGTCGTGTAGTCGTGCAGTTGTCAAAATAACTGTGTTTATAAGAACGTGTGTATTTTAATATCTGACAGATATCGGTTCAGCACTTAATGCTTGGCTCTGTTAGGATAAGTTCCTATGATTCTGAAAATCGGGTCACAAAATTGACTTCAAATCAAGCCTTCTAATTTATATAACAGCAAATTTTCATACTAGAGTTTGCAATAACTACAATTATTTATTCATAAAAATTATGAGCAGCAGATTCGTAATACCTCTTAGTTTGAATAAAAAATTTGAGCTTATTGCAGAAAAGGGAAGATGGGGCAAGGACATGTTAAAGAAACGAGAAGCAGAGAACGTTTCGTTACCCAACTAATGGAGTGCGTTCTAAACGAGGTTTAAACGCCTCGGATGATTTCATATAAGTACTTCAATATCATTACCAACCATAAGTCTGCCACCACCAGGTGCACGACAATCCTCTTATAGTTCCCCACGATCGATTTTGAATGCGAACATTTTTTACATTTTGGTACCCTCTAACGACCAAAGTTTGTCCATAGTTGGCTTAAGCGCTTTGAATTACCAGTAGATGCTATCCGTTCCCATCCTCCTTGCGATTTGTATACCTCCTTGCGATGAGAGTTGATTTGGTTAAGCTGTCTGTTGTGATTATTTGTAATAATCACCAAGCACTATTGTGGTAAATACCGCCGTACTTTTTGGTATGGAAAAGTTTTCAGTAGACAAGATATTTACATCAAATTTGGCATATATTATTGCCCAAAACAACGGCGCATTCTCCAAAGAAATTGTTAATATTGGATTACTATAGGATATACTTGGCTACACCAAATCTCGATGGAGAGAAGATGATTATCATTTGTAAGAAAAAAGCCAATCTTACTACAAAAAAGTATCGAAAAGAGTAAGACTATGTCTGTGCTTAATCGAATTTATCCATATTATTATGTTTTTCAAATTTTATTAACGATTTACAATGTTTGCACAATTCCAGTTTAGTAAAAATTAGTCAGATCATTCATAGATCAACACATGAAGGTCCCTTGTTAGTTTAAATATGTCTTTATGTATGTGTAGCATTAATATATTCAAGTTATAACTTAACTAAACCGTCTTGGAGTTTTGATAATCAGGAAAGAGGGAGCGCCTTCAACATATTCCAGAGAAACCATAATCACATTTTTCATGTAATTGTCCGATGTAGGGCGAGTGTTTTATGCCGAAGCTGTAGGCTGGAACATGTGAGAGATTAACCTGAAATGTACAGATGTACACACAATTATATACATACTTACATATGTTTATTATTAGATGCAAGAGGAGATAAATATTCTTTGAAATACTTGCAGAACTAAAATTTTTGTATATTCTGACTGGTCAATTAAAGTAAAATGAGTATGAAATCGTTCGCATTGAAAAATAATAGATCTCAATAGTCCCATGGCTAAATGGAAGTCTTGAATGTTTTCACACTGCGGCAACTAGGCATGCACGAATGAGATGTGGTATAATATAAGATTTTCTTTGACCCAAAAATGGGCTATGATGTATTGAAAATGACGGTGCTGGACTTGTTTTGTACAACTGATACTATTATCGATTTGAGAATAATTAAAATTATTACATAATAATAAAAATACGCATGTGTGACGTTAAAAGTATCATATAAATTGTAAATGAAATGATAATTATTTACCTTCTCGGGACAGTGTGCGCCCGGTCCTGGTTTATTGTGCTCATCACTCGGGTATTTGAATTTGCCACGCATTGTGTACATCGGTGGCTTATATTTCATAACCGAGTATTCAGCATCGTAGGCACCGGGACCGGGTAGCAACAATGCTGGAATTAATCGCGGCTTTTGTCTACCGGCCATTGTGAAGGCCGGTGCTGAACGTATCGGGCCTTCCTTACTGATACCCAAGACGGTGGGTATTTTATAGACATTAGGAGCTGTTGGGAGAATATCATTGTTTGAATAACATTTTAAAGTGTTTGTAATCGGTTTGGGATGATAAGTTAATTGTAAACATACGTTTGGCGAAATGGATGGATGGGTAAGTAGGCGCACTAGTTTAGCATTTTTTGTGAGTTTATAAACATTAACAATAAGCTTGTACATATGATATACATATATGAACACAATGTTACCCTGTTTACCTTATGATCTTTTCATGTGTGGCGTTAGCCTCAACAACATATTTGACGGACGAAGTTTTTGAGGTTGTGGTCGTTGTAACGGCTGAGCCGTCCGACTGTACCACCGTCTTGGTGATAGAGCCGCCGGATTTGGCCGTTCTGGCATCAGATCTGGCTTGGGCGGTGTGAATTTCTCTACCGTTATCTAATCCAGCGTCGGAAACCGTGTATGTTATAGTGCTAGTGGTTGTGGTGCCTTTGGCTTTAGCATTCGCTTTAAGGTCAGTGCCGTTGCTTAGTGCGCCCCTGGCAATGTGCTGTGCAACTGTTGTTCTGGTGCTGCTGGCGTCGGAGTGCTGCGGCCGAGAGGCTTTGTCCGTTTTATACCCGTTTTCGAGCACTTCTTGCTCACCAACTGTTCTGATTTTTGTGCTGGTAATTGTATTGGATGTGCGCTCAACATGATTAGATGAATTATCGGTGGAGTTTACCACCTCGCCGTTCAGTAAATTCTGGTTTTGATTGGTGCGTACTACAGTGAGAATATGTGAAATTTGTGTGTATATAAGCACTCGAGTATGCTAAGGTGTGTATTTAAAGTAAAGTTAAATTAAATCACGAGAATGTGAAAAGGTTGCTTTTTAGACTTGCATTTGTGCGGACCAAAATGTTTTTGAATGCCATAAAAGACTCTGTACATAAGCGAGAGAGCCCAATGGTATCCGAAGTTATAAAGAAAGCAATGAAGTGATACAAAATGAATTTTTATAATTTCGAAAACTTCCATAAAGTAGGAAATAATTGACCAATGCAACTAAAATAATAAGTGGGTGAATCCTAAATCTTCATTTAATTATTGTTAAATCCTAAATAGAGCACTTATGGAACGCTCTTTTCGTATATATACTATACATACATGTATGTACATAGCGGATAAATGTGTACTTACCAGGACTGGCTAAACGCCGTTCTCGTCTTTGCAAAATGCGATCTTCTACATAAGCACCCTTTGGCAGAGCTGAATATGCGATTTGCACAGGACATGCATGTGAAATATCAATTTAGTTTACGAATACATACATACAATATAGATAGAAAGCAATAATAACCGGAAACAATTAGAAAAATAAGATAAAAAGCACGCCAAAGCCAAATATTTACAAAATATGGAGTGAGAATTTCTACCGCTGTACCTACCTGGCATGGGCGCAACTTTGAGACCGAATGTGAAGGCTGGCGAATTGTCTAATTTACAGTTTTCTGGGTGATAGTGGCCGGGAGCTTTGAGAATAATAAAGACGAAAATAAAAACACACATACACAAACTGCACATCCACACATATGTATTGGATAAATATGTATTAGTGTAAATAATTGTAAGCTCCATATCTTGTAAGCGAGCACCAAAAAAATACTCGTTAAAAAAAAGACGTGATAAAACGTCAGTAGCAAAAAAAAAAAAAACAAAAAAAAAAAAAAAAAAAAAAAAAAAAAAAAAAAAAAAAAAAAAAAAACAAAAAATAGAAATGCAAACACAATTCGTAAGATGATGCTCCTAACAGAAACTGGTATTTTTTAGTCATCCATGTCCTTCGACATTCTCATTTGTAAAATAGCGGTGAGAATATACATTACAATTAAAAAACGGTAATATAACAGTATGTTTTAATGAATATCCGTGGAAATTTTCAATTTGTGTTTTGTTCAAGTCTTCCTGAACTTTCTAAAATATTGGCATTAGTCATAATCTAACAAGTTGGATTTTACATCCCTAACCCCAACCGATCGCGAGACCGAACTACCGATAAGGAACTTTTCATTGTAAAACAACTAAAATTTATATATAAAAATGTATTAAAAACGTACCTGGTGCCTCGGTGGTCAACTTGCTCTTGGGCTTTAAGCCAAAACTAAAGGAAGGTGCGTGATCGAGAGTGTGTTTTTCTGGTTCATAAGCAGTGGGTGCTGTGAAGACGTAATATTATTTCTTATATACACATGCTAAGGTATACGCAAATAAATAACCAGTACTTTATCTAGTTGCACAGTATAAAGCTACGTCTTGTGAAGTCATAAATACTTTGTGCATATAGTAAAATTGATTCTTGGTTTAAGCTTTATGTGCGCAATACAATGCTATACAGTATTATGTAGACATACATATGTATATAATATTACGGCCTTACCTGGGGTTTCACTGACTTGCTCGTGAGTTACTTTTAAACCAAAAGTGTACGCGGGACCTCGATCCATATTAACTTTCTCGAATTCATATTGCCCTGGAGCCGGCGATTCATTTCTAACATGAAGATTTGTTTTTATGCCAAAGGTATAAGCTGGGGACTGGTCAAGTTTGCATTCTTCGGGTTTGTAATCACATGGAGATGGTGTGTTTTCTGCGTGTTTAAGGTATTTTCGGCCGCATATAGTAAATGCTGGAGTATGATCTAGTCGGACCTTTTCAGAATAGTATTCGCCCGGAGCTGGTGTATCACTAATCTGTTGGACATTTCTCCGCCCGACAATACTAAATGCAGGTGAGTGGCCAAGCTTCACTGCTTCTGGTGTATAATCTCCAGGGGCGGGTGTGTCGTTATTCACTTTGGGATCATGTTTCCCAGCCATTGTGTATGATGGGGTGTTGTCAAGACGAACTTTCTCCGGACAATAAGCGCCTGGTGCCGG